AAGCTTCCACAAAACATCCATCTTAGCATCTTCAAAGACAGATATAAGTAGAAATGCCCCGACCAACACAACTACGCCGAAAGGGTCCTAGGCTACCTGTGGCAACCCTTTCACGGGTTACGATGTGCATTTATCCATCTATAGAGCCTGCCTTTCTGTAAGAAATTCAAGCTGGAGGATGCTTACAAATGAAAATGCAAAGCATCAAATTTAAAAGCCAACAAACCTAACTATAAAACAGCAGGTAGCCGTGTTGGTCTGCCATAGTCAAAACAAAAAAAATTCCTTCCAGTAGCACCTTAAAGACCAACTAAGTTAGTTCTTGGTATGAGCTTTCGTGTGCATGCACACTTCTTCAGATACACTGAAACAGAAGTTGCCAGATCCTTCTATATAGTGAGAATCACAAGACAGAGAAACCAGTAGGAGAACACTTCAATCTCCCAGGACATTCTATACAAGATCTCAAAGTAGCTGTTTTACTACAAAGGAATTTCAGAAATAGACTGGAAAGAGAAGCTGCTGAATTACAACTCATTACCAAACTTAAAACCATGGAGAGACCTGGTCTGAACAAAGACATTGGATTCTTATCTCATTATACATGGCAAAGCCATTTCTCACCTTCTCACCCCTTGCTTTTTCCTGTAACACCTATTGCAGTCGTTAAGAGTCGTCAACAGGCTCATCTCAGCTGTCTGCCAATCACCCATTCCCACCACCCTTCTGAGTAATACCCCTCCCCACCTTCTCACTATATAGAAGGATCTGGCAACTTCTCTTTCAGTGTATCTGAAGAAGTGTGCATGCACACGAAAGCTCATACCAAGAACTAACTTAGTTGGTCTTTAAGGTGCTACTGGAAGAAATTTTTTTTTGTTATAAAACAGCAGTAAAACAGGACCGTAAAACACCCATAATCAAAAGCCTTATCAGCAACCACAGACTACAAAGGACCATTGGATGAGCCGACTGAAAACAGCACCCTGGGATAAAAGGTTCTTTTATACCCAGCCTTAAGAGGGCAAAGAACAGCCGTACCAATGTAATAAATGAAAATCTGCCCTTATTCCTTTATGGGGGACACAAGAGCCCTTATAGAGTCCTTTGCAGGTTCTCCATCGGTCAGAGAAAATAACAGAGGCCAACCAGAGAATATTGAGAAGCAAAGCAGCTCGTAAGCCTGATCTTTATTGAACTGTTGCAACAGGGTGCTCCCCTCACATGCAGGAAAGGAGGAGGACCCAGAGCTTTGGTGTGCCCGCCCTTATATAGACATTTTAAATTTCCTGCCCTGGCATCCAAGACCACCCTCCAGAAACATCATACATACATCACAGAAAGGGGTGGTCTACAACAGAAATTTGAGTGCGTTGGTTGCCTCCTGTTGTTGTTTATCTCCTGTCTGGCAGGTTACCTGTTAATGCTTACTTGATTGGATACTCTGGGGAGCTTGGCCAGTCGTTTGTAATGATAAATACTTAGTTCCTGAGCCAGGTCACAGGCTCACCCTATTCATACACAGACAGACATACCCTTAAGACAGGATTTGTGAAGGAAAAGACAATGGGGAGGCTTTTCCATTTTCCTTTGACTTTGCAGAGAAAACATTTGGTCAGTCTGGGAGCCAAAATGGCTTCATGGCTGTTTTCCTGTGCCGCTTCAGACATGTGGTTTATATATTTATGTATGTGTTTGCTTGGTACATTTGTGAACATTTATTATATATATAAGACCTTTTTTTTTATTTCACCCAACACTCAATTTGTTACTTCTTAAGGTATTGCAAGGCTTTTTTGTGCCCACCCCCTCAAAAGAGCAGCATACAGATTTGTGCGTTGACCTCTTCCTGTGAGGAGGCGCCATCTTGTCCTCTGCCTTGGGCCACAAAATGTCTTGAGCTGGCCCTGTCTCTTTTGGCGTTTTGGAAAACGCAGCATTGCCTTTTCTGTTAGGTAAAGCTCCTCTGGTAGAATCATAGAATCATAGAATCATAGAGTTGGAAGAGACCACAAGGGCCATCGAGTCCAACCCCCTGCCAAGCAGGAAAAGAGATGCCCGATCACAGTGTTATAGGAATTCTAAGGTCTCATATATATGTAAATATATGTTCATAAATTTACAAGGCAAACACATACATAAGTGTATAAACCATGTGTCTGAAATAGTACAGGAGAGCAAGCCTGAAACCATTTTGACTCTCCCAAATTGACCTCAAATATTTCTCTGCAAGGAGGATGGAAATAGGAAAATCTCCCCATTGTCTCTTTGCTCGCAACTCCTGTTTTAAGGGTGTATCTGTGTCTGAATAGGGTGAGCCTGTGACCTGGATTCAGGAACTAAAGTATTTACCATCACAAAAGGAATGACCAGGATGCCCAGGTAAAAGCAATCAGTGTCCATTATCAGGTATTCTGGCAGACAGGATTTTGCTGTAGACCACCCCTTCTGTGATGTATGTATGATGCTTCAGGGGGTGGTCTTGAGCTACAGGGGAGACAATTTCAAAAGTCTGTATAAGAGCTTGCACACCATTGTTCTGGATGCCTCTCCCTCCCTGCTCACCCCACGCAGTTTAATAAAAGATCAAGCCTACTAGTCGCTTTGGTTCTCAATATTCTCTGGTTGGCCTGTTATTTTCTCCTACCGATAGGGAACCAACTTAAGGACTCTATACGGGCTCTTGGATAAGAGGGAAAAGGAGCAGCTTTTTTCTTGTAACAGTCTTCTTCTTCTACTTTGGCGATTCCTCATAGCCAAGTAAGATTGTGTTCCATAAACATGGTTTAAACAGTGAGTCTGTAAGTGACTGTGGAGGCCAATTCTGGATCCACACCTCCTTCCACAGTGGGGACATAGGTTTCCAGGCAGGAGTTGATCACGGTGTGGATTTGCCAAGCATGCTTTCCTCTTAGCACGTTTCTCCCTTGCATCCTGAGTTCGAGTGTCTTCAAAGCCCATGACACCTTTGGTAAAGGCTGTTCTCCAACTGGAGCGCTCGCAGGCCAGTGTTTCCCAGTTGTCGGTGTTTATACTACATCTTTTTAAGATTTGCCTTGAGAGAGTCTTTAAACCTCTTTTGTTGACCACCAGCATTACGCTTTCCGTTTTTAAGTTCGGAGTAGAGTAGTTGAAGCACGTGAACGTAAGCGGGTACTCGCTTGGTGTTTAATAAGGATCAGGCAGACTCAGCCATGGAGAATAAGAAGGTGCAGTTTATTGCCAGGCAATAAGGACCCAGTTTGGAATCTCTTCCAAAAGGAACTGGGACCCCGATTGACAGAAATCCAGAGGTCTTTATACCTGAGCAGATCACAGCAAATCATAGATCATGAGACAACCATGAGACAGTCACGATATTGTCAGCAAAAACTAGCCAATTAGCAAGCTTCTTGCCACGCTACCAGCTCCTGGTCAAGCACTGGTCAAGCACGGAGTTCCAGTTCTGCTTTCCGATGCTTGCAGTGACGCTCTGTCTAACCTCTCCCCTAGTTATGACAGGGCAGGGAGTTTGGAGAATTTGTGGTTTTGCTCTTCCTGTTCTGTGGATTAATTTAGCCTGTATCTGAGGGGATTTTGTACCAGTATCTGATTCACGTCTTCCCCTTGTCCGGGGTACACGGATGTTTGTAGGGGAAAGGTCGGCTCCTAACTTTGCTGTTTCAAGCAGTTTGCAGTTTAGCTAAGGCACAGCTTCCCTTTTCCAAAATGGATTATAAAATACTGTAAGCCTTGATTATGTGTGAGCATATATGAATATATTGATTACTGATAACTGATTATATGGATAGCATAGGGGTAGCCCTTCTTCCTTGCCTCATAGTTGCTTTGGAAGACGATCATCAGGCATCCGCACAACATGACCAGTCCAACGAAGTTGCTTTTGAAGAATCATCGCTTTGTTACGGCTAAATCTGGGTGCGGGGCTACCCTGCCACCCAGCTCGTCGGACTAAGTAAGTCCGCGGGTCCCTGCGGAAGAAAATGAGCTCAGCCGGACAGGAGCAAACTGCAGAAGATCCAAGTTTATTGCGCAACAGGTTCAAGACGAGATTGAACAGCGAAAAAGGGGTGACATGAACTTTTGAAACTCCCTCCATGTCCCAGAATACAGTGCAAAATACATCCCAGTTACATCATGAATACATTAAGGAAAGGTTGGGTTACACAGATTACATCATGAATACATTAAGGAGAGGTTGGGTTACACTGGATTAACATATGGAGGAGGGAGGGGGGAATATGCAGAGAGCTGGAGATATCAGCTTCAACACTGGTGATCTTTGCTTCTTCCAGTACACTGGCATTAGTTTGCCTGTCTTCCCAAGTGATGTGTAAAATTTTTTGGAGACACCGTTGATGGAATCTTTCAAGAAGTTGGAGATGGCGTTTATAAGTGGTCCATTTTTCACAAGCATATAGTAAGGTTGGTAGAGAACCTACATAAGGACTCTATACAGGTTCTTGGATACCCCATAAGGAAAAGGAGCAGATTTTTCCCCCTTATAATAACAATATCTGTTCCTGGAAGGCAGCAGAATTGGGCAGAGAAGCCTTTCGTCATCCCTCTCAACCCAGGACGGTGGAGTTTCCTGAGATGATAGGGCTGTTGAAAGAGCTCAGATCAAAGGGGAGGAGAGCAGGTGGAATCCACAAAGAGGGATTAGCAGAGCTGGACAAGAATGATAAGGGAAAGGATTCTGCACATCCCAGCTGTGAGTCTCCAAGGTAAAGGAGCATTGTTTGCCAATTGCATTTATTGCTCTTTCTTTGCAATATTTCCTGTAATTCCGGGAAAGGGAACATATCATTCCCTGCCACAAATCATTCCCAGCTTATCTCCCAGCTGGTAACCCTGAAAGTGAGCCTTGCATGTTGTCTCACCATAAAACGGTGTTTTTCAAGAGCAAATTTTCCTGCTGGTATCAATCGCGTGGTTTCTCACCTGTTTGCGTTTTGAAAGGTGGGATGCTGGGGTTTGTTTGCTTAGAAGCCATCATCACCGCCCCGCTTCCTTTAAAATGGTCCAAGGGGGGGTGAGTATCCATCAGAATTTGGTCCTCGGACTGCGCCACTCCAGACCAGCCGCCCAGGAAGGGACAAACAGAGAGGTGAGTCTTGGCAGCCCCAAAATTCCCTCCTTCCTCGCTTGACATCCTTGTGTTTCTTGTTAAGGCACTCGTAGTGGAAACAGGTAAGCAATGAGCTCCTTGCTTACTAGGAGTAAAAATGGTGGGAGGGAGATCTGCGTTCTGGAGATTTTTCTTACAAACCGCAACGCAGTTAACTTTGCTTTTCGTTTGACTTGGAAAATACTGAACCTGGCTGCTGTGCTGCAGCAATATTTGATGTCGTCAAAGCAGAAGAGATAGTCTGGGTCTTATAAGCGACTTAGCATTGCCTGTTTCTTGAATTTTCCCTGCAATGATCACAAGCTCAAAGCCCAAAACACACACACACACACACACACACACACACACACACACACACACACTGTGCCACACAATGGATCCATCATTTCTGCCCTTCGCTGGGATGAATGTTGCTGACACTTTCTTTTCCCAGGAGAACCAGAAGATGGGGCAAGTGGTCTACCTTGGACTCTGCCTGTTGGGCTGCCTGATCCTTAACCCTTTGGCGGAAGGTGAGCATTAGGAGAAGGGGCAGATCCAGCTGCTGCAGCTGTTGGTTTTGGAACTTTGCTGTGCGGTGCAACGGGTCAGTGCTTCTGGCTCTTAAGCAGGAGGTTGGGGGTTCGAGCCCAACTGTGGACAGGATCCTGCAGCGCAGGGAGTAGGGGGGTCTCTTCCAACTCTACAATTCTGTGGTTCTGTTTCTAATCAGTTCATTAGATCTGTGTAGGTTTCCCTTTGTAAAGCTGGCAGCTTTTTCCTGGCCTTGCTGCTCTTGGTAGTGGCTCCCCATCTGTGGAATCTCCTCCCAGAGGGGGGATTTATTTGGTCCCCCCTGTGGAAATAAAAAACGTCCTTGCTTTATGCGTTTAGACTTTGCTGCATGTTTATTTTAAAGAGGCAGTTCTACAGCACTTCTGTATATTGTAAATTAATAGGAGCTATGACTTACCACTTTTGTCTGGATGAATAAATAAAGGAAATTATTGTTCCTAACTGGGAAAAGCACTAAGTCTCTTCCAATAAGCTGTCTGTCTGGAGCTGCTCTCTGCCCCTTTTTAAAATGATGGAAGAACAGCACTCAAAGGCTGGGGGTGTGTGTGTCTGCACCAGCCTCCCATTCTCCTGAAATCTCTCCCCTTCTGGCATAAGTTTTGGGTCTTCCCTTTCGTCCTGTGCATGTTTGTTAAATCGCCGATGCGCTTCTTCCTTCACCATCACTAAGTACCGTAAATCATTCCCTTCCCTTCTTTCCATTAATCCAGAAAGAGTGCTGTTTTGCAATAATAGAAATCTTTCAGCTTGATATAACCATTTTACACTTAAGTGTATATATATGTCTGTGTTGTTGTTTTTTTAAAAAAATATGTTTACTTTTTGAAAATTTGAAAAGAATATACAGATAAAAAAGTATAACAATTTTATTTGAAAGCACCAGCGGCGTCTTATCTTGCCACACTAGCTGGATGGCTGTCACTATTGCACTGGACATTGCACTGGACATTGGCTCCCAGTACGTTTCCAAGCACAATTCAAAGTGTTGGGGCTGACCTTTAAAGCCCTAAGCGGCCTTGGTCCAGTATACCTGAAGGAGCGTCTCCACCCCCATTGCCAGAAGGAACCTCCCGATTCCTAACGCCAGGGCTTCCTTGAGGGGCTCCATCTGTCAAGGAAAGGGTTGGTTGTCTGGGGCATCTATTCCAGTCTCAATCCAATTCCTCACAGGTGCCGCCAATCGCAACCAGAGCGCTCGCGCTCACTGCCCTTCAGGAGCCATCTTCTACAGAAAGTACTGCTACCAGTATTTTAGCTCCAGCCTCTCATGGAATGATGCCGAGGTAAGTTTCACCACGGGGAATGAGAAGAAATAAGAAAGTTACTAATAACTTCACATAGCAAAAGACCAGAAATATACCTTTTGGGAATATTGAATAGTGATATTTCTAGAGAAAATACTAAATTCTTTCTGTGGCGAGAATCCTGGTGGCTGAGTACCGGAAGGGTAACCAGGTACCGACCAAAGAGGAATGGTTATGTAAGTTATGTGAATATTTGGAACTGGCCAAATTGACAGACATAATAAGACTAAAGCCAATGAATACAGTCAAGAAGGAATGGAAGTGCTTGAATGATTATTTAGAAAGACAATGTTCTAATGTAAAAATTTGGCTGTGTCTAGAATGACCTCGTGAATGGAAAAGGGGAAACATACATATATACATGGGATGCGGGTGGCACTGTGGTCTAAACCACTGAGCCTCTTGGGCTTGCCGATCAGCTCCCATTGCTCTGTCCCTGCTCCTGCCAACCTAGCAGTTCGAAAGCACATCAAAGGGAAGGTAAACGGCGTTTCCGTGCGCTGCTCTGGTTCGCCAGAAGGGGCTTAGTCATGCTGGCCACATGACCCAGAAGCTATATCCCGGCTCCCTTGGCCAATAAAGCGAGATGAGCGCTGCAACCCCAGAGTTGGCTACAACTGGACCTAATGGTCAGGGGTCCCTTTACCTTTACCTATATATATATCTATATATTAAGATGAAAATAATACTGAAATACAGATAAAATATGAAATGTGAAAGGAAGTTTTGTGAGAGTGATGGAAGCCTATTACTACTATTATTTTGTAAAATAGTGTTTATTGTACTGAAATTTTATGCTTTGCTTTATTCTTTTACTGTCTACTGTTCTTTGCATCCCCCCTTTATTATTTTTTCCCCTTTATATTATTCTTTATGCATGCTTTGGTACTGATGTATTTACTTTGCAATAATAATAAAAAAATAGTTGTAAAAAATTTTTTCCTTGTTGGGAATCCTTGGGAATCCTGGCTCTAGGCAGCATCTCACAGGTTTCCCCCTTTCTTCTCCCTGCAGATCAGCTGCCAGAGGAGACAGGGGTCCCAGCTGGCCTCCATTCTTTCTGCAAGGGAAGCAAATGTGGTTTACAGTTACCTGCGACAATATGGCTCCAGCAACGTCTGGATCGGCCTGGTAGCTGACCGTGGTACTTCGGTAGGTGCCTTTAGGACTCTCTGAAGACGCTGACTGTATGAGCTCCTCAGCTCCCATGAGGTCCTTCAAATGTAGCTCACTGGCTCTCACTTCCCTCTGAAACCACTTTCTTCCCCAAACGTCAAACCTTTGGTTTGTCCTCATTTGGAGATGGGATTATTTCTCGGAGTGGCTCTGTGGAAGGTTCTGAAGCTCCAGCTCCAGTTCCTCATTGTGTTTCATAGAATCATAGAATCATAGAGTTGGAAGAGACCACAAGGGCCATCGAGTCCAACCCCCTGCCAAGCAGGAAACACCATCAGAGCACTCCTGAGAGTTGGTCCTCCTTGCCAACTCTCATTGCACTATAAAGTCACAGATTCTGTGACATTTCCCCAACACCGTACAAATTGTCAGTCCCCTTTCACCTTTATGGCTACAGCAAAAATAAATTAACACTGAAATCCTATACATGTCCTGAGTAAAGCCCAGTTGAGTTCAGTGTTACTTACTCCCGGGTAAGTATACATGGGATTGCAGGTTCTGATCATGAAAATAAAAATATATGTAAATTCAGATGAGTGGAAGGAGTGTTAGATGAGACCTTTTCTATCATCTTTGTGGTCTTTTATATCAATGTGGGACAATATAACTCTACTGAGCCCGGCCTTGGCTGGGGAGGGCGGGGTATAAATAAAAAAATATTATTATTATTACTATAATTCACATTGCAATTTATAGCTTGCTCCATTGAATACATTTGCATCTTCTATGGTGCACACATTGAAGTATGCCCAATATCCCAATCAGGTACTGACCAGACCCAGATCCTTTTAGCAGCAGCAATGTGGGTCTTCTTAGCACGCCCTTAGATTTTATCCTGGGCAAAAGGTGTAATTCTGCTGACTTGTAGTTCATAGCCATATGAGAGCTGGTGTGGTGTAGGGACTACACCACAAATCTTTGTGGATATTCAAAACTTCCTGACCATAAAGCTAACTAGTTGGCCTTGGACAAGTCACTTCTTCCAGCCTACCTATCCAAGCGCTTGTCAAGCTAAAATGCTGCTCTGACCTCCTGCAGTGGAGGCCAGGACAGAAATAACAACATATAAAGTTTAAATAACTCTAGGCTCTGAGGGGAAGTGTGGTGGTTCAACAATATGTTCTGAAGGATGCAGCAACCTTCCTGAAGCTAAGATGGGAACCCCTTGGCCTTGTCAGTTGCGCTGATTCCCCAGCTGTGTCCTCTCTGGGGATGTGGGGAGCAAGGGGCTTGCATTCCCCTTTTATCACAAGACGTTCTTTTCTCCTTCTCTCTCTCCAGAATATGATCTGGGAATGGAGCGATGGATCTGTCTTCTCTCAACCCCTCTGGGACGGCCGGAGCATCAGCCACTCAATCTCTTCATACGAATGTGTCTCTCTTTCTTATTCAGGTATGCAGGAAGAGAGACTGGGGAAGGAGGAGGAAAACCCATTCATTCAAGGAATTGAGGGGAACTAAAACAAATCCATCCTCATTCTGGATGTTGCAATGCAGTTCTCCAACCAAGTTTGTGCAAAAACATATACTTGGGTAAAGGACCCCTGACAGTTAAGTCCAGTCACAAACGACTCTGGGGTTGCGGCACTCATCTTGCTCTATAGGCCGATGGAGCTGGCGTTTGTCCGCAGACAGTTTTTCCGGGTCATGTGGCCAGCATGACCAAGCTGCTTCTGGCGAACCAGAGCAGAGTATTGAAACGTTGTTTACCTTCCCACCAGAGCGGTATCTATTTATCTACTTGTACTTGATGTGCTTTCGAGCTACTAGGTTGGCAGGAGCTGGGACCAAGAAACAGTAGCTCACTCCGTCGCAGGGAATTGAACCGCTGACCTTCTGATCGGCAAGCCCAAGGCTCAGTGGTTTAGACCAGTGTGCTTTAAAATGCTAAGGTCTGCAAAAGTATCATGTAAAGGTCTGTTGTATTTCGGGAAATTGCCCTGCAAAAGTGTGTTTACTGGTTGATAATAAAGGTAAAGGGACCCCTGACAGTGAGGTCCAGTCATGGACGATTCTGGGGTTGCGGCGCTCTTCTTGCTTTACTGGCCGAGGGAGCCGGCGTACAGCTTCCGGGTCATGTGGCCTTAAATTGCTGGTGAATGATCAGGAGGAGATAAAATATGGTAACCAGACCCACCAAGAATCACAAACTGTTGTGGAAATATAGAGAACTCAAGAATGGGGAAATGGGAAACTGGCAAAAAATGAAAAGGACAGACTTACTTATTCCTGTGTGGAAAGGACTTGGCAAGGAAACTGAGGACGGGGAGAGATGGGACTCCAGAGAGAGAACCCCACTAGTTTCCTCTTTATACTTGGCACTTCGAATCACCTGGGCTGCATTTTTGTTTTTGAACTGTCACCTCCACTGGGGTCGGTGGGCAAAGTCTAGAGTGGTTCTTTGGCTCAGAGTAGGGACAGGGAACTCTGCCCTATGGAAAATGTTGGAACTTAATTTAAATGCAGAATTCAGCTTTTTGATGGGCGGCTTCAGTGAAGTTTCATTCATGCAGGCATGGGGAATGCTAGAAAACATCTCAAACATCACAAAGATCTCACAAACCAAGGGTTCCGTATGACACACAAACACACCCCACTGGCAAAAGCAGAATGGCTTGTTCAAAAGACTTCTGCTTACGTATTTATCAAATCTCTTCGTTGCTTTTGCTCGTAATTGTCTCCCTCTCCAAAACAGGGAAGGAAATACTTGATTTACTCAAAAGGAAGTCTACATTCTCTCCCAATTTCTGGACACTCCCTAACATTCTCTCTCAACCTTCTGCTCTGCAGGTTCCCAGAAATGGATCCAGCGTTCCTGTATGACTTCCTTGCCATTCCTTTGCAAATACAAGGCCACCTATTAGGCCTGAAACCCTGGGCCTGAGAGAAACACCCAAAGACCTCCAGCTTCCCAACAGGTCCAAGGCCAGCCCGCTTTCATAACTACTCTGTCCACCTGCAGGAAATCTATTCCCTCCCCTCCTCTATTGGCCTGGAGCAGAAAAAACAAGAGGGGCTTCCCCAAGTAAATCCAGTTTGGACTCTTGATTCCACTAAGACCTAGCCAAATCCAGAGCCTGAGGCTGTGAGCAACAGTACATCCCCCCCAACTGGGAAGTTTGCCCCATGAGATGTGAAACCTGTCTCCCTTTTCTGCAAAGAGATGAGATGCTTTTGTGGACTGGTTAGCTGAGTAAACAAAGCTTTCCTTGTGCTTTGCAAAGTGATGGGGCCAAATTTGGAACCCCCTTTCCCAGACCACATCATGGAAATGCAAACCTTTGCAAGCTGTCTGCTCTTTCTCTCTCTGGCCAGCTCCCATCTTCCTCCGTAGTGACAATAAACCTCCTTCTGTGCATGCAATTCTGCGTCCATGTCCTCTGTATTCTTGAAATAGTTGTTTATTGTGACATTCAGACCCTACCTTTCCCCCAAGAAGGTCCATGTGGCAGGCATGGTTCTCCCCAACCCTAGTTTGGAGAGTCGCTCCAGAAGGATATGACAGTTGATGGTATTGAAAGCCACTGAGAAGCTGAGGAGAATTAACAGGGACATGTTTCCCTTCTCTCTCTCTCGACGGAGGTCATCATACAGGGAGACCAAAGCAGTTTCTGTGCTGAAACGGGGCCTAAACCCCAATTGAAATAAATCCAGAAAACCAGTTTCTTCCAAAAGTGCCTGGATCTGGTCTGTGAACATTTGCTCCAGAACCTTGCCCAAGAAAGGGAGATTAGCAAGTGGCCAGCAGTTGGTTAGGTTTTCTGAATCCAGGGAAGGTTTCTTAAGGAATACAGTGGAACCTTGGTTCTCAAACCATTTTACTATCTAACGAGACCAGATCCATAAAATGAAAGCAATAAACAATGTACTGCAGTCACACAATCAATCAATCAATCAATCAATCAATCAGTAGCTGAATTGGGTTCCACTCAGTCACAAAAACAAAAGAAAAAGAACCATAAAAACGCAAAATAAATAGCAAAAACAGACAGACCTCAGCGTAACACTCAAAACGGAGGATGTTCAGCTTCCGAAAACAATTCGCAAACCGGAACACTTACTTCTGGGTTTGCAGTGTTTGGGTTCCAAGTTGTTTGAATACCAAGGCATTTGAGAACCAAGGTGCCACTGTAGTTTTACCACTGCCTCCTTCAAACAGGCAGGGACCTAGTACTTACAGGAATTAGAGGACAAATTTCGGTCAGGTTTTTTTTTTTTTTTAATAAAATTTTTATTGGGTTTTCACATTTTTATAGACATACAAACATAAAAAGACACAACAAAACACGTATAATTTCATAAACTTACTTTCATTCCCTTCTTTCCTTGACTTCCCCACACCCCCCTTTCCACATTCCAATTTCATTAATTGTCTCAGCAAATTATTTTCTCCCATCTCTTAAATGTTATTCTTGTCTTTTCTTAAAGTTTATTGATTTTTCTTGGCCCAATTTTACTTATCCAGCTTTATACATTAAATACTTTCTCTAGAGTCGGCCTAAATTCTCTCCCACAAATTCCCTCCTTAAAATGTTAAACCAAAAATCATTATATTCCCATTCTAAATCTCAGATTTTCACTATTCTACTCTCCCCTCCACCCTTCCCCGGTTTCCGTCCCTTCCCAAACCAATGTCCTCAAAGAAAAGAAACCGTTTTAGCCCGGATTTCTCACATCCGAGGCCCTTAAGCCCCAGTTGGTCTCTCTCCACCAGTTTTGTTGGCAGTCCATTTTGTTGGCCTTCTCTTCTCGAGGGGGTTCTGCCACCCACCCCTCGTATTTCCCTCTTTCCAAATCAGCCAAGAGCAGTTTCTGGCCAGGATCAATCAGTCTCCCATACTCCAACCTAAAGAAGAAGTCCCAATCATAGTTGTCTATTTTTTTATAATCCAATATTCGAGTTATTCCAGGGGCTTCTTCCTTTATCTTTCTCTCCTTCTGCAGATTTGTAATCCACTGGTCATCTTCTTTATTTCCTTTGTTTCCAAAGGTTGCAGGCTCTTGGTTGGTTTTTTCCACTTGCGTTTCCTCTCCTCTCTCTTCTTCTTTTTCCCCCAGTTCCAAAATTATCTTTTCTTCTGCAGCTGCAGAGTTTTTTTCCATCCACTTTGTGTCATCAACAGAGTTGTTTAGTTCAAGATTGAAGGTCATCAATTGTTCACTCATAAGAGTACTGTGCTCTTGTAGAATTCCCACAAGACAAAACATTCTTTCTATCTCTGCCCATACTTTTCCTTCTGCAGCCATTGCAATGTCTTTAGTTCCCTCCAGGGGGGTTTCCATCAGTTCTTTTCCAACAATCCGTTACTTTGTTGTTCACAGTCACCTTGTTTCCAATCAGTTCACTTTTAGTGTAACACTTTTAATCCAAAAAGATATTATTAACACAGTTCCAATCTTTAGTCTCCCGTTTGACAGCTCTTTTGACAGCTGTCAAACTCCTTATTCTTTTTCTCGGGCTCACACACAGGGCACTTCCCGGGTCTAGGGGGGGGGGTCAACCAGAAAAGAAAGACCTCTGAAATTCCTCTCTCTTCCTCTCCAGCACAAATACTTCTTAATCCAATTTATGAAAGTTATCTATTTAAACACCAGCGTCTTTTCCGACCTAGTGGTCCTCTCTTTGCTTTAAGTCCTTTAGTGGGGGGGGGGGAGTGTGGACTTCCTTTTTAACACGTCCCCCCGATCGTACTTAAATTCAAGGATAAAATCTTTTAGTGCCGAAATTTCCTTCTACTCACGGGTTACATTTTCCAGTCCAATTTCAGGAAGAAAGATAGCGCTCTTCGGTCATGGCTCGCGGCTTCGCTCCGCCGAGGTAGCGATGGACTCTCAGCACCACGCCGCTCCCCAGTCCACTCCGCAGCCTTTAAAAAGGCTCTTCGCGGGTCGGGGAGGGCGCTTAGGGTGCCCACCGAGTCACCAAGTCCGCAGGCTTCCGCGCCTGCGGTTTTTAAGGGTCCCCGTGTCGCCGGCACGGCAAGACCCGTCCTCAACGGAGCCGATTCCCTCCGGAGCTCGGAGAGAATCCGCCATTACCCGTTCGCGCTATCCCGGAAGTCCAAATTTCGGTCAGGTTTTTTGGGCAGGAGTTTGAGACTCAAAAGAGTTTGAGAGACAAAATGTTTAGAACAACAACAACAAAAACCTTAAGAGTAACCCAACCTCTTTTTATCAGCGCATTATTCATATTCTAAACCTAAATCACTTAGGTCTAAACTAGATGTTGGAGGCACACATGTAACTGTAGCCTTCCTTAAAAGTTGAAAATTCACTTTGGGATGAAGAGAGTAGAGACGGGAGATGCTTAGACTTTTCGCTGCTGCAAATCATTTCCCCAACCAACTGGGGAAACGGCAGAGAACCGAGGAAGAACGAAAAGGAAATATATCAAACACTTTTATTTTCAGAGCAGACAACCAACAAGACACAACCCACCTCAGCTGCGCAGGACATTTTAGTTAACTGAGGGGGAGAGAACGCTTTTCTAACAGCCAAACCAGGCCATGGAAGGAAATGACCCCTCTGTTAAAAAAAAGAACCAGCTCCAACCCCATCAAACTCCTCCCAAGAACCAGCCGCTTTATAAAAGGGGGCAATGAGTCGGAGCCGTGATGGGTTGGTGGCCAGGGGGCTTCCAGAGACCCCCAGAGGATTTCTTCAAGGATCCGGCAGTGGCAACCAGCGAATTTGCTCTCCCAGGAGGCCTTCGGCAGGTGCGAAGACAGGATCCGTCCTCTTCCACTACACCACATTCTTCAGGTTGCCTGCAAACATTATTATTATTATTATTATTATTTATTCAACTTATACACCGCCCTATACCCAGAGGTCTCAGGGTGGTTCCCAACAAGACCACAACATATAAAACCAAACCAAAAGTAATAACCCAATAACCCCCATAAAGCCACATTCTAAAAGGGTTTGGATGTCACTAAGATCAACCAAAGGCCTGGTTAAAAAGGAACGTTTTTGCCTGGTGACTAAAGGTGTATAATGAAGGGGCCAGGTGAACTTCCCTGGGGAGAGCATTCCACAGACGGGGAGCCACTGCAGAGAAGGCCCCGTTTTCATGTTGCCACCCTCTGGACCTCTCAAGGAGGCGGCACACAGAGGAGGGCATCAGAAGGTGATCTCAGGGTCCGGGTAGGCTCATATGGAAAGAGGCGGTCCTTGAGGTATTGCGGACTTGAGCCGTTTAAGGCTTTATAGGTCAAAACCAGCACTTTGAATTGGGCCCGGAAACTAATCGGTAGCCAGTGCAGTCAGACCAGGATCAGTGTAAGATGCTCAAACCGTCTTGCTGTGGTGAACAACCTGGCTCTGAATTCTGCACCAGCTGAAGTTTCTGAAACATCTTCAAAGGCAGCCCTACATATAACACATTGAAGTAATCTAACCTTGAGGTTACCAGAGCATATTGTTGTTGTTTAGTCATTTAGTGGTGTCCGACTCTTCATGACCCCCTGGACCAGAGCACGCCAGGCCCTCCTGTCTTCCACTGCCTCCCGCAGTTTGGTCAAACTCATGCTAGTAGCTTCGAGAACACTGTCCAACCATCTCGTCCTCTGTCGTCCCCTTCTCCTTGTGCCCTCCATCTTTCCCAACATCAGGGTCTTCTCCAGGGAGTCTTCTCTTCTCATGAGGTGGCCAAAGTCTTGGAGCCTCAGCTTCAGGATCTGTCCTTCCAGTGAGCACTCAGGGCTGATTTCCTTCAGAATGGAGAGGTTGGATCTTCTTGCAGTCCATGGGACTCTCAAGTCTCCTCCTCCATTCAAAAGCATCAATTCTTCGGCGATCAGCCTTCTTTATGGTCCAGCTCTCACTTCCATACATCACTACTGGGAAAACCAGAGCTTTAACTATACGGACCAGAGCATAGACAACAGTAATTTGGCTATCCCTGTCCAGATAGGGCAGGGATAGCCAAATTGGGCCCAGAAACTAATCGGTAGCCAGTGCAGTCGGATCAGGATCAGTGAAACCGTCGGGTAAGCAACTTGGCTGCTGAATTCTGCACTAGCTGGAGTTTCCGAACCGTCTTCAGAGGCAGCCTGGCATTTAAGGCATTGCAGTGATCTAACCTTGAAGTCACCGGAGCATAGACAACAGTAGTTAGGCTATCCCTGTCCAGATAGGGGCGTAGCTGGGCCACCAGCCGAAGCTGATGGAAGGCACCCTGGGCCACTGAGGCCACCTGAGCATCATTCGCAAAGCCGTCCCTTTTACCTGGACAAGAAAGGCGGGAGGTTTTTTAAAGGAGGGGCTGGAGCAATAATTTAGCTGAGATTCCTGCACTGCAGGGGGTTGGACTAGATGGCCCCTGGGACCCCTTCCACCTCTACAATCCCATCTGGAGACACTGGTGTCAGGAGTGTGTGCAGGAGCCAGGCCCTGTGACCAGTAGGACTCTGCAGGACTGGGGCCTTCCTAAGTTTGTTCTGAAGAGGCAAGGTGTGGCAGCACAGGTGAGGCCAATTGGTAACTCACAGCACCTGGTGGCAAGAGGTGGGAAGAGATATAAGGTCAGCATTTCCCTTCAGCTCTTTGCCACAGCAACATGTTCCCTGCCTTGTTGTGTTTAGTTCCTTGACTCCTTGATCCTCAGACCCCTGACTTTGTGACTCCTTACTTATTGATCCTCAGACCCCTGACTTTGTGACTCCTTACTTATTGATCCTCGGACCCCTGCCTTTGTGACTCCTTGCTTCTTGACCCTCGGACCCCTGCCTTCGTGACTCCTTCCTTCTTGACCCTCGGACTCCTGCCTTCGTGACTCCTTGCTTCTTGACCCTCGGACCCCTGCCTTCGTGACTCCTTGCTTCTTGACCCTCGGACCCCTGCCTTCGTGACTCCTTGCTTCTTGACCCTCGGACTCCTGCCTTCGTGACTCCTTGCTTCTTGACCCTCGGACTCCTGCCTTCGTGACTCCTTGCTTCTTGACCCTCGGACCCCTGCCTTTGTGACTCCTTGCTTCTTGACCCTCGGACCCCTGCCTTTGTGACTCCTTGCTTCTTGACCCTCGGACCCCTGCCTTTGTGACTCTTTGCTCCCTGCCTTCATGACTCCTTGCTCCTTGATCCTCGGACCCCTGCCTTCGTGACTCCTTGCTCCTTAGACCCTTGACTTCGTGACTCCTTGCTTCCTGACCCTCGGACCCCTGACTTCGTGACTCCTTCCTTCTTGACCCTCGGACCCCTGACTTCATGACTCCTTGCTTCCTGACCCTTGGACTCTTGACTTCCTAACTCCTGGCTTCTAGCTCCCCGTTCCTGCTCCCTCCCCGCCATCTTGCCCCCAGTCCTGACGTCCCCAGCCAGGACTTTGATTACCTATGAACCAGACTGTGACAACTGGGACTTGATCCCTTCTGCGCACAATTCAGGTGCTCTGCCAGCGGACGGCGCCCCTTCGCTGGGAGCCAGGCTCATTGGCACCCATCTCTGCAACCTCCTTCTCCCAGGTGAGGAGGGCAGGACTCACCTTTAATGCAGCCCAGGATTTCTTGGATTCTCTGCGGCTCGTTGCGGTCCAGCCTGCAGCTTGGTGTAACTTCCAAGACGTAATCAGGGCCGTATTCCGTGAAGTACTGCCAGAGGAGGAAGGAAAGGGTGAAGGAAGGAAACAGGAGCCGCTCCTGGCAGATCTAAGTGAGGCAAGGCGCACCCAGGGTGGTAACCCATGTTGCATGCGAGCCTCTGACTTCACAAGCAAAGGGCTGTTTCCTCTCCCTGGGAAAAGAAACAAACCCTCTTGCCCTAATCATCCACCGACCTTACATATGGCAAACTCTTATACAATAATAATAATAATAAATTTATTTACACCCCGCCCATCTGGCTGGATTCCCCAGCCACTCTAGGCGGCTTCCAACCAAATATTCAAAACATTACGGCATCAAACATTAAAAACTTCCCTAAACAGGGCCGCCTTCAGTTGTCTTTTAAAAGTAAAATAGCTGCTTATTGCCTTGACATCTGCTGGAAGAGCGTTCCACAGGGCAGGCGCCACCACCGAGAAGGCCCTCTGCCTGGTTCCCTGTAACCTCACTTCTTGCAGGAAGGGAACGGATTAATTCATTTTGCATTACTTTCTATGGGAAAGCGGGCCTCGGTTTTGGAACGCTTTGGTTTTTGAATGGTGTTCCGGAACGGATTAAGTTTGAGAACCAAGCTACCACTGTATTCTTACTGAGGTCCACTTCCAAGAGCCTTCTGGCAGTTCCCCTAATGTGAGAAGCGAAGTCACAGCGAAACAGGCAGAGGGCCTTCTCGGTAGTGGCACCTGCGTTCTGGAATGCCCTCCCATCAGATGCCAAGGAAATAAGCAGCTGTGTTACATTCAGAAGCCATCTGAAAGCTGCCCTGTATTGGGAAGTGTTCAATGCCTGACACTTCACTATTTTTATATATGTTCTATTGGAAACCACCCAGAGTGGCAGGGGCAACCCAGCCAGATAGGCGGGGTATAAATAATAAGATTATAATATTATTATTGTTACTAGAAGGACTCTTAGCAAAAGGCTGGGAGGGGTTTCTGCCCAAGAGGAACGGGTCGGTTCTTCTGCGCAGCGAAGGGACCGGCTAGCCAAGGCCTCACCTTGTGATCCGGGATTTCGGAGGGCAGCGTTTTCCCTAAGATGACCGCCGTCAAATACGCCCAGCAGCGAGCCGTGTTGGCGAGATGGTAGCCTCCTGCCTCCAGGAGCGAAGCAGCAGGAAGTCCGGAAAGGGAAGAAAGAGGAGTTAAAGAATGAGTTAAAGAAATTGTATAAAAGCACATTTGTTAAAAAAGCCAGAGGCATTTCTATTAGGTATAGTAGTAGGTGAAGAAATTTCAAAGTGAGACCAAAAACTGTTCATGTATGCAAGAACGGCAGCAAGGACTCCTTTAGTCCCAAACTGGAAGCAACGGGAATTATTGACGATAAAAGACTGGCAGGTGAAGATGACGGAATATGCAGAACTGGCGAAACTGACGGGAAAATCCAAAACCAGTGCGATCAAGCTTTCCAAAAAGACGGGGGTAAATTTGTACAATATTTGTTTTTGGTGTTTTTTATAAATCTTTTTTATTAGTTTTCTAATAAGTACATCCAATTAACAAATCCATCAAATCATAATACAATTAAAAAGAATAAAATAAAATAGCCAAATTATTAATTAAAAAAAATTGTACAATATTTGAAGGACAATTGCAAACAATTAACAACATCAGCAGGGTTGAGTTAAGACGACTTGTGATGTTAAGGATTCTTACCTTTTTATATTTAATTAGAAACGTGATAATTGGAAGGAATGAAATGTAAATAAGAAGAGGTACAAATGCTATGACAAAGAAAGGAATTATGAAAACCACGAGGCAGGAGGGAGGGAAGTCGACCAGCTCGTACGAGCAAAAACCAATGTGATTAACAAGGATGTATTCAACTATCATGAAATGGAAGCCTGATAAAAATATTATTAAAAAGGGTTTTTCATGTGTGCTAAAACTCAGCCCTCCCGGCCTCCTCCACTCACCTCCTCCCAGGACGAGGGTTGGACGCTGCCATTGCAACACATACTTCAGGCACCGGCCGACTCCTTCGGGGGTCAAGTTGAAGGAGCACATGGGGTCACCAGCGATGGTGTCCGCCCCCAACTGCAGGACGATGGCCTCAGGGCTGAACGCTGCGTAGACCTCCTTCAGGACACTGCAGGGAAAGGAACGAAGGCCCCTGTTACCCAGAGAGCAGCCAGGCAGGGAGCCACTGGCAGCAGAGGTTAATGTTAATTATTATTATTATTATTATTATTTATTATTTATACCCCGCCCATCTGGCAGAGCTTCCCCAGCCACTCTGGGCAGCTTCCAACAGAACACTAAAATACAATAACCTATTAAACATTAAAAGCTTCCCTGAACAGGGCTGCCTTCAGATGTCTTCTAAAAGTCTGGTAGTTGTTTTTCTCTTTGACATCTCCTGGGAGGGCGTTCCACAGGGTGGGAGCCACCACCGAGAAGGCCCTCTGCCTGGCTCCCTGTAACTTGGCTTCTTGCAGGGAGGGAACCACCAGAAGGCCCTCGGAACTGGACCTCAGTGTCCGGGTAGAACGATGGGAATGGAGACGCTCCTTCAGGTCTACTGGGCTGAGACCATTTAGGGCTTTCAAGGTCAGCACCAACACTTTGAATTGTGCTCGGAAACGTACTGGGAGCCACTGTAGGTCTTTCAAGACCGGTGTTATGCGGTCTTGGCGGCCGCTCCCAGTCACCATTCTGAAGCTGACCGGACACGGGTTAGAGCTCAATGTTGAGCCTACCAAGTGGCGGTAGCGACGGCAAGTAAGATGTGAAGGAAATAAGCAGCTATCTTATCTTTAAAAGACATCTGAAGGCAGCCCTGTTTAGGGAAGTTTTTAATATTTAATGCTGTATTGTTTTTAACACTTGATTGGGAGCCGCCCAGAGTGACTGGGGAAACTCAGCCAGATGGGCGGGGTAAAAATAATAAATTACTATTATTAGTTATTATTATTTATGCTAAATATGGCCCTGCTTCCTCGTGGAGCCCGGACGTGTTTCAAAAGCCGCAGGGCCGATTCCAGCAGCTCGGCTAGAACAATCTGATTGAGAGACAGAGCGAGCCCCGAGTGTGAGTTATGCCAGGTGGGGCAGAAAAGAGGAACTGCAGGAGAACCACTGAAAACCTTTGCTCCCAAAGGGCCACCGGGTGGTGGGTTCTTACGTCTCGCAGATCTGGAAGTATCTGTCGTCCTGGATGCCGTCTTGAATGGGGACGTTGACGCTGTAGTAACGCCCCTTTCCCAGGCCCACGTCCGTCACATCTCCTGTTCCTGAGCAAGAGGCAGAAGAGAGGTTTTTTTACAGACCAGGGACCAGGAAGCAGGACCGTGAAGGATGCTTTGTGCCTCAGTGTAGTGATCAGGTGGGATTGCTATTAGGAATTATTAAAATATGGAGCAAGCCATTGTGTCTGCAATGAAAGCATTGCGTTGACTGGACTTGAGCCATTGACAATAATTTCTGATCAAATCCCACAAGCCTCTACATTTCTGCCATTTTCTCTGCTGCCCAGTTCTCTACACCTGACAAGCATGTATAAGCATTCTAAAACACAGAACAGTTGCTTCACCAGGCATCCTCAGTACATAAAGATAGTAGTTAGCTTTGATGTACCTTTCATTTGTTTTGTTAATCTTAGGGCCAGGAAATAGTTTTACATAGAGGTGATAATGCTTTTGAATTCTGGTGCTGGAGGAGACTCTTGAGAGTCCCATGGACTGCAAGAAGATCAAACCTCTCCATTCTGAAGGAAATCAGCCCTGAGTGCTCACTGGAAGGACAGATCCTGAAACTAAGGCTCCAAGACTTTGGCCACCTCATGAGAAGAGAAGACTCCCTGGAAAGACCCTGATGTTGGGGAAGATGGAGGGCACGAGGAGAAGGGGACGACAGAGGACGAGATGGTGGGACAGTGTTCTCGAAGCTACCAGCATGAGTTTGACCAAACTGCGGGAGGCAGTGGAAGACAGGAGGGCCTGGCGTGCTCTGGTCCAGGGTGTCACGAAGAGTCGGTCACGACTAAACAACAACAATCTTTCCTTGCCATCCTTCCTCTCCTGTTTACAGCCTCTGGGGTTCGCTAAAAGCATTCCTCACGGATTCCTATTTTATTTACTCTGAACTACGTATGCATGCTTAAGTAGGAAATAGTTTCTTTGTAGTTAAAAGGATTTCTTTGATCAACTTTGTACCTACATGGTAGGTTTTTTGAAACGCTCAGAGGACATCTGATCAGTTCTTATAAGCACTGTGTTAAAAGTTCTTTTGTTAATAAAAGGGACCTTGGCCAGGGTGTGACAGATTATTATCGGCACTCCTCCCAGAGTCTTGCTGGTCAAGCCTCGTGTGTATTTTATTAATCAGGGTCCAATCCTTCATTACTTTTGGAACACAACACCTCAGGTGGTGCCTGTGGACTGCCCATCGAGGGGCCTCCGGTTGGCCATTACGATAGCAGGATGCTGGCCATCTGGCTTGATCCAGCAGCCTCTTTTCAGGTTCTTATGCCTCTCGGGATTCAGAGAATGATATGAACAGAGAATAGGGGAAATAAACAGTGGGTACTGTTTGTGTATTTACATACACAAAATATAAATATACAAGGTGTATAAAAAACTAATAAGGTAAAAAGGTAAAGGGGGACGCAGGTGGCGCTGTGGGTTAAACCACAGAGCCTAGGACTTGCCGATTAGAAGGTCGGCGGTTCGAATCCCCACAATGGGGTGAGCTCCCATTGCTCAGTCCCTGCTCCTGCCGACCTAGCAGTTCGAAAGCACGTCAAAGTGCAAGTAGATAAATAGGTACCGCTCCAGTGTGAAGGTAAACGGCATTTCCGTGCGCTGCTCTGGTTCGCCAGAAGCGGCTTAGTCATGCTGGCCACATGACCCGGAAGCTTTACGCCAGCTCCCTTGGCCAGTAAAGTGAGATGAGCGCCACAACCCCAGAGTTGGTCACGACTGGACCTAATGGTCAGGGGTCCCTTTACCTTTACCTTTACCTTTAAGGGAAGCAATACTCAAGCACAGTAAAAGAAATAAATAATAATCACTTGCCTGGGAAAAACCCTGGAGAGAACTTATGCAGAGACACCGTCATCACTTTGGAGGTGAAGATGAAGGCATCTTCTACACCTGGGTGGGTGGAAAGAAAGAGAGAGAGAGAAGTGAAATAATTGTGACAGGCTCCTTGCCCATCAGCCACAGAGTCTAGTCCTGGAGGCCAGAGACCCTATAGCCAGAACAGAAGGGGGGCTTATCAGGGAAGGAAGCTGAAAGACAACACAATCTCATAGCTTTTTTTTTGACAGATTTGCAAGCTTGATGGATCAGGGGAATGCTGCGGGGACATAGTGTATCTTGATTTCAGTAAGGCTCTGGACAAAACCCCCCATGATATTATAATAATAATAAATTTTTATTTATACCCTGCCCTCCCCGGCCAAGACCGGGCTCAGGGTGGCTAACATCGAATATAAATACAGTAAAAGCATTAAAAACAAAACATCCCCCCCCCAAAACCCCAAACAAACAGTTGATTAAAATATAATGATGATACAGATGATACAACGGTGGTTGGTTTAAGAGGGGGAGGCGGCGTATAGGAAGGAAGTTGAGCAGTTCGGGGAGTGGTGCAGGAAAAACAACTTATTCCTTAACTTAAATAAAACAAAAGAGATTATTGTGGACTTTAGGAAATGTAAATTGAATATTCAGCCACTCATTATTGAGGGGAAGTGTGTGGAACAGGTCTCAGTGTTTCGTTTTCTGGGAATGGTGTTGAGAGATCGCTTAACCTGGGGAGAAAACAGTAACCTATACCATATGTCTTGGATGTGACACATGGAGATTTGCCTTTGCGGGGAGAAACCGAAAGTGGCGTCACTGAGGACTTTGGATTACAACAGGAAAATAAAGAAGAAGAAAAGTAAACATATTTCACACAGAACTACAAACCTGCTTGCTAAATCAATTCAGTGACTGTTAAAAATAAATGAAGGATCAACATCGGAAATGTTTTATTTGGACTATTTGGAATAATTAAGAAATGAAGTATGATATTAGATCATCACTCCCCAAACTTCAGAGCATGGGAAGTTACCCAAAAGATATATAATTTGGCATTGAATATTTGGCTTTTTTATTGTATTATAATTTGGAATGTTTGATTGTGTTTTTATTGGATTGTTAAAATGGAAATTTCTAAACTATATATTATTTAAAATAATAATAATAATACCACCTTTAGTCAATGTATAACCTGTGTACAATGAAATTAACTGAGCCTCCCTCCCCATACACTCAGTCTCATTGCACTCTGTGTGCTTGTCGCACAACACACCAACCCCGAAAGTCAGTTGCACTATATTATTTTCCGTTCAGCAGCCTAACAGCCCATGGATAGAAACTGTTTTTTAGCCTATTGATACAGCTGATTAAACTTCTATATCTCCTGCCCAAGGGTAGAAGATTAAAGAGGTGCTGGCCAGGGTGTGAATTGTCCCTGAGAATTTTCCTCACTCTCCTAAGGCAACGATCCCTAGCGGGCTCAGGGGACAGCCCATGATATCATGCACTGTGTTCACCACCCGCTGTAAAGACTTTCTGTCCGTGGCTGTCAAGCCAACATACCACACTGTGATACTATATGAGAGGGCACTTTCTATTGTGGACTGGTAGAAGGAGGTCATCAATTGTCGTTTAATGTTGTTCTTTCGCAAGACCCAGAGAAAATGGAGTCTCGGTTGGGCCTTCCTAACCACCTGAGTTACCGTATTTTTCACTCCATAAGGTGCACCTGACCATAAGATGCACCTAGTTTTTAGAGGGGGAATTCAAGAAAAACAAAATTATTTAAAGGGAGCGCTGAGCAGAGCCTGTATGCATCCCAGGCTCTGCTCAGCGCTCCCTTTCACGAACCGCGTGGTGTGTGTGTGTGGCTCTTGGGGGCTTTTCCCCAAAAAGGGAGAAGGGAGGCCCTCCCACACTCCGCGCAGCTCTTTAAAGGAGGGGCGGCTCTTGGGGGCTTTTGTGGGAGGGGGCATTGCTCTCTCCCTTCCCCCACCTCCCGCAAAAGCCAGGGATAGCCGCGCGAAGCCTCCGCAGGGCAGTGGGATGAGTGCGGAGGCTTTGTGCCACTAAGGCAGAAGCTAAAACTGCTAGAGGGAGCACTGCGCAGCACTCTCTCTAGCTGTTCTGGCTTCTGGGGTAGCTCGCAAAGGCTCCGCTGGGCAGCGGGGAGCCTTCATCCCGCTGCCCTACGGAGGCTTCGCGGGCTACCCCAGAGCTGCTCAGGAGCTTGTCGGGGCTGGCGGGGGAAGCCCGGGTCCCCCCCCCCAGCCCCAGGGACCACACATTCACTCCATAAGGCGCACAGACATTTCCCCTTAGTTTTTAAGAGGAAAAATGTGTGTCTTATGGAGCGGAAAATACGGTGTATTCTTTCTCCAAGTAAGGTCTTCACTAAGGTAAACTCCCAGGAATTTAAAGGAAGAGACTCTCTCCACACAACACCCCCTGATATACAATGGGGCTAGTTCCCCTCTCTTCCTCCGAACGTCCAACACCATCTCCTTTGTCTTGCTAATATTTAGGTGCAAGTTATTCTCTAAGCACCATGTAGAAAAAACACAACAAACCAAAGCAGCAGGGACAAGTCAAGCCAGGTCAACCCGTGTGTAGGAAGGAACCTTACCATCCCCGTGATGCAGATCTAAGTCCACATAGAGAACGCGGCCAAATTTCTGCCGGAGCCGCAAGATGCCCAGGACGGCGTCGTTCAGGTAGCAGAAGCCGGAAGCTTCGTCCCTGCAAATAAAACATGACTGGTGAAACGTGAAGGTTCAGATGCTGCCAAACGAAGCTGACCTCAAGCCAAGAACGTAGCGCTCTTCGCCGCTCTGGCAGATTTTGTAGAGGAAAATTAGGCATAGGGAGAGGAAGAAGTTATAGTGACATTAATCTTATAGTGATATAAGATTTCGGATAAAATATCCAGTTAGAATCCTGGGAAAGGTTGTGGAAGGAAGGTATCAATTTTACTGCAGGCAGCGCACTTGAAGAAAATGTTATGAAAATGATGTACTGATGGTATTTAACACCAGCTAAATTGGCTAAAAGGGACACGGGTGGCGCTGTGGGTAAAAGCCTCAGTGCCTAGGGCTTGCCGATCGAAAGGTCGGCGGTTCGAATCCCCGCGGCGGGGTGCGCTCCCGTTGCTCGGTCCCAGCACCTGCCAACCTAGCAGTTCGAAAGCACCCCCGGGTGCAAGTAGATAAATAGGGACCGCTTACCAGCGGGAAGGTAAACGGCGTTCCGTGTGCTGCGCTGGCTCGCCAGATGCAGCTTTGTCACGCTGGCCACGTGACCCGGAAGTGTCTCCGGACAGCGCTAGCCCCCGGCCTCTTGAGTGAGATGGGCGCACAACCCTAGAATCTGGCAAGACTGGCCCGTACAGGCAGGGGTACCTTTACCTTTACCTTTTAAATTGGCTAAAATGTACAAGACAACTAATGCGTACTGGAAATGTAAAGAAAAGGAAGGTATCTTCTACCACATGTGGTGGTCTTGCAAAGAGGGAAAGGCTTTCTGGGAAATGGTATATAATGAGCTAAAGGAAATGTTTAAAAATACTTTTGTTAAAAAACCAGAACCCTTTTTACTGGGAATAGTGGGTGAAGAGATACCAAGGGAAGATAAAAAACTATTTACGTATGCAACAACTGCGGCATAAATTATTTTAGCCCAAAAATGAAAACAAGAAGAAGTACCAACAAAAGAAGAGGGGCAGATGAAGACGATGGACTCTGCAGAATTGGCGAAGCTGGCAGGAAAAATCCAAAACCAGCACGATCAAGTATTCCAGAAGTACTGGAGTAGATTTATACAATATTTGAAAGATTATTGCAAGCAATTAAACATCACCAGCAGGGTTGCCCGATGACTTGCAAGGAGAAATTTTCTACCTTCCTATATTTATTTAAATTTTGAAACATTTTGTAACGAGTGTCATTAGAATTGAAAAATGCATAAAATGCTATGATGTAAAGGTTAAATTTGAAAGCCGTGAGACGGGAGGGAAGGAAGTCAACAGGCTCTAGACAGCTAAAGTGGATAATAATGATGTGATTAAAAGGTAAAGGTAAAGGGACCCCTGACAATTAGGTCCAGCCATGGCCAACTCTGGGGTTGCGGCGCTCATCTCGCTTTATTGGCCGAGGGAGCTGGCGTACAGCTTCTGGGTCATGTGGCCAGCATGACTAAGCCGCTTCTGGCGAACCAGAGCAGCTCACGGAAACGCCGTTTGCCTTCCCACTAGAGTGGTACCTATTTATCTACTTGCACTTTGAGGTGCTTTCAAACTGCTAGGTTGGCAGGAGCAGGGACCGAGCAACGGGAGCTCACCCCGTCGCGGGGATTCGAACCGCCGACCTTCTCCTCGGCAAGTCCTAGGCTCTGTGGCTTAACCCACAGCGCCACCCGCATCCCAATGATGTGATTAGATATCGATAAATGGAAATCTCATAAAAATTATAAATATATATAGTGACAAACCAGAAGACGGAACATTTTTGATGGCAAGTCTCCTCCTCTGGTAGGCAAGAGGAACATTCCCAGAGCTGTTTAGCTAGCTGAGAGGAAATATGATAGACATCTTCAGGTATCTCAAGGGGGCTGCCCCATGGAAGATGGAGCAAGCTTGCTTTTCCCCATTGAGATTCTGACTCAACATCAGGAAGAACTTTCCGACATTAGGAGCCCTTCGACCGCAGAACAACCTTCCTTGGACGCTGGTGGAGTTTTAAAAATTATTATTGGGTTTTTACATTAGCGGGTTTATTGTAGTAACCTGCAGTTTTATAAGAGTATCTATTTACAGTCAATTATCAAACGAGCAAGTTAAATGAATTTGGATATGCGGAAGGTATTAAAAAATAAATTTAAGGAACTCTAGAAAGAGGGGGAAGGAAGTCAAATTTTGAAATGTTAAATGGATTGTAAAACTAATGAAATGTATAAATTTGAAAAGTATAAATAAAAAATTATTAAGTTTTTACAAAAGGTTTAAGGTGTGTGAAAGTGAAACGGACAGAACGACAAACAACCAAAACAGACAAATGCAGGAAAATCAAATTACGAATCAATGGCAAGTAGGTTCCAAATCTATGTCAAATTTAGAGGTTGGAGGGACACCTGTCATGGATGCTTGAGATTCCTGCCTTGCAGGCGGGTTGGAATAGATGACCACTGGGGTTCCTTCCAACTCTACAGTCCTGTGATTCTGTGATTCCTCTCCCCGCAGGCCTGACGGATGCCAAGGTGGAATAGGCCTAACAGTGCAGGCTCTGGGAGAAGCAACAAGATAAGGCAGAACTTCCTTACTTCTTTGCATGATGCCAGCCTCCAGGCCAGTTGATGGCAACCTGGCAGTCGCCATTCACCAAACACTGGGCGGCTGTGATGGTGGCTCCTCCCACGGCGGCCGCATAGTCAAAGATCCCTTCCGAGGTCGGGCAGTCGTAACCTGGAGGGAGCAGGAGAAAGGGGTGAGCGTGATAGAAGAATCAGAGACACCAGGTGTATCTTTTTATTATTTGGACCATTTTCCTCTTCAATTGCATTTACCTTTTACAGTGGTACCTTGGTTCTCAAACGCCTTGGTACTCAAACAACTTGGAACCCAAACACTGCAAACCCGGAAGTAAGTGTTCTGGTTTGCAAACTTTTTTTGGAAGCTGAACTTGCTCTGTTTTGAGTGTTACGCTGAGGTCTGTCTGTTTCTGCTATTTATTTTGCGTTCTTGTGGCTCTTTTTTTTCCGTTTCATTTTTGTGACCGTGTAGAACCCAGTTCCACACGTGATTGATTGATTGTGTGACTGCAGTAACATCGTTTATTCCAGAGGGATACGTAAGCAGAGGTACCTTTGTACTTCTTAATTGTATTTCAGTTCGACAATTACTTTGATAAAATACATATTTTGTAATGTGCAAATGGCTTTATTATTATTATAAACTCCATCTCCTCAGAGTCTTGCAGAAGAACAATGTCAATCAACATCTGATTATCTCCTTCTACCGGTCCACAATAGAAAGTGTCCTTTCATACTGCATCACGGTGTGGTACACTGGTTTGACATCATCTGATAGGAAGAGCCTACAGAGGGTGTGAATACAGCACAAGATATTATGGGCTGTCCCGTGAATCCGCTGGAAGAAATAGCAGAAGAACGTGGCCTCAGGAGAGCGAGGAAAATTCTCAGGGATGATTCACACCCTGGCCGGCGCTTTCTTGATCTCCTGCCCTCAGGCAGTAGATACAGAAGCAGGATTAGTCGCGCCAATAGGGTAAAGAACAGCTTCTATTTGTGGGCTGTTAGGCTGCTGAATGAAAAGATAACAACAGGGCAACTGACTTTCGGGTTTGGTGGGTGTGCGTCAGTAAATGAGGGGAATTAAGACTAAGAGAGTTGAGTGGGGGTGCTCGTGTAATCTCACTGTATACAAGTTGTACAAGTGACAATAAAGTATTTCCATTTCAGTTTAGATACCTGTTAGGTCCATAAATTTCCATAGAGCATATATTCCACACAAAAAACAGTGACCATTTGTTGTTGACAAAGGACAGATGGACATATAAAGGGCCCCATGACCTCCAGTGGATTAAGGGAAGGCACCCCCAACCTTCAGCCCTCCAGATGTTTTGGACTACAATTCCCATCAACCCTGACCACTGGTCCTGTTAGCTGGGGATGATGGGAGTTGTAGGCCAAAACATCTGGAGGGCCGCAGGTTGGGGATGCCTGGCTTAGGGCCTCATCAAACCTAAATCCGGTCCTGGCTGTGAGATAAATCTCAGCACCCCAAGCCTGGAGGCAGATCTTCCCTGGCACCTTGCCTGGAGTTCTCCAGGGGAAAAACCCCAAACAGCCACCTCCTCACCTAGTCCGAATCCCACCGATTCCGGATGGTCATCGTCGCCTTCCTCACTCACTTTCTGCAGGTGCTGCAGGTAGGCATCAGTGTGGAAGCCGGCCATCTCCTCCATGGAAGCTACTTTGGGCGGGACAATCCTACGGAAATGAAGAACTTGGTGGGTGGGGCAGACCCAGAATATGGAAGGTAGCACCTCAACCGCTCCAAGGACTCGCCCAAACATCCCCTTGCCTTCCTCCTCTGCAAGGAAAACCTGCTCTTTGGCTATAAATTGGAATAAACGGCAATCCATTAAAAAAACCCTAACAGCTGTTTGCTCTGATTGAACGCCAAAGAGCAGTTTTTTGCTCCAATTGAGCACCAAAGAACATTTTTTTGCTCCGATTAAGCACCAAAGAGCGGTTTTTTGCTCCGACTGAGCACCAGAGTGCTTTTTTGCTCCGATTGAGCACCAAAGAGTGATTTTTTGCTCCGATTGAGAGCCAAAGAGCGAGGTTTTTTGCTCCAATTGAGCACCAAAGAGCGGTTTTTTGCTCCGATTGAGCACCAAAGAACAGTTTTCCCAGGAGGAAAACCATGGGACAAGAAGGATGGATAATCCTCAAACCGAAAAGGTGTTGGTGCTATGGGATGGGTTAGGAGCAGAAGAGAAGTCCTCTGAGGCTGCCCCTCTGTATCTCCTGGACTACAGCAAAGTTCCCCCCAAGGCAACGTCCCCCAGTTGTCAGTCAAAGAGATCTCAGCTGCTTAGCAAGCATTCTTCCAGAGTTCTGAGAAATGTGGCCTAAAGGAAATATTTTTATCATCAATTTCATTTCTACGCCGCTTTATACTTTTCAGGAAAAAATCCGAGAGGTTTGCAACCGGCCTTAAAGCATCAAACAAAACAAAATGCCTCTTTCCAGAACAGGTGAAAGCTGCAGGAGCCCCTGGCAGAGACACCCCTCCTTGCCCAAAAGACCCCCTTGCCCAAGAGACCCCCACCTGCCCCATGGCAAGATGTGCCGCTTGCGCCTACCTCATGTGATCAAGCAGCGAGTAGGATTCGATCAAGGAATGCACCATGCTGGCCTGCAGGGAAAGGGAGGGAGGGAGGAAGTAAGCCAAACCAAACCATCCTCACGGAATCAGAGACCTGAAGCGCTGGAAGGGACACCCGGTGGTCATCTAGCCCAACCCCTTGCAAGGCAGGAATCTCTACCATAGCATCCCTTGTGGGCAGCCACTGAACTTCTGCTTAAAACCCTCTAGGAAGGAGAGGCCATAGAATCATAGAGTTGGGAGGGATCCTCCCCCCAGGGGTCATCTAGTCCAGCCCCCTGCTTTCTTTTCATTTTTTATTTTCAAAACTTCCACAGAAAAGCATAAATATAAGTTGATTTTACATGAGATATTCTTAGACTGAAATAAATGTTACATTGTACATAAAATTAATTAAAAATCTAAGATACAGTGGATGCTCGGGTTGCGAACGTGATTCGTGCGGGAGGAACGTTCACAACCCGCAGCACCGCGTCTGTGCACGCATGGGTCACGATTTAGTGCTTCTGCGCATGCGTAACGCCGAAACCCGGAAGTATCCCGATCAGGAATTCGCTTAGCAATTCTGTTTTTAATGTTCTGTTGAAAGCCACCCAGAGTGGCTGGGGAAACCCAGATGGGTGGGGTAGAAATAAAAAATTATTATTATTATTATTATTGCAGCAAAGGGATCCCTGACGAAGCCCCCCCCCCCCCCGCCAAACCCTCTGCTTTAAAACCATCCCACTGTCAAAAGCCTCTTGCCCTGAGGAACTCGCTGAGGACTAGCGCCTGGGTGGGTTGTCTCCCCCCTCCCCATTCATATCCCCCCTCCCAGCCCCCCCAGGACTGCCCCCCCCCTTTGCTGGCCCAAAGGATCCCGCTGAGGACTAGCGCCTTGGGTGGGGGAGTTGTCCCCCCCTTCCTCATACATACCCCCCCTTTCCAGGCCCCCCGGAACTGCCCTCTGCCTCCCCTCCCTTCCTGGCCCAAAGGATCTTGCTGAGGACTAGCGCCTTGGGTGGGTTGTCTCCCCCCCCCCCGCCATGCATATCCCCACCTTTCCAGCCCCCCCCCCCCCGGAACTGCCCTCTGCCTCCCCTCCCTTCCTGGCCCAAAGGATCCCACTGAGGACTAGCGCCTTGGGTGGGTGGGTGGGTTGTCCCCCCCATGCATATCCTCCCCTTTCCAGCCACCCCCAGGGGCTGCCCTCTACCCCCCCCCTTTTGCTGGTCCAAAGGATCCCGCTGAGGACTAGCGCCTTTGGTGTGGGGGTGGGTTGTCTCCCCCCTCATGTTCCCCTCCCTTCCTGGCCCAAAGGATCTCGCTAAGGACTAGCGTCTTGGGTAGGTGGGTGGGTTGTGTCCCCCCCATGCATACCCCCCTCCCTCAGGGACTGCCCTCTGCTCCCCCCCTTCGCTGGCCCAAAGGATCCCGCTGAGGACTAGCGCCTTGGCCCGTGCGCCTCCTCACTTCTCCGCCCCCCTCGGCCGCGCACCCGCTCGGGGACTTTGCAGAGGGCGTCGCATCGCGCCAGGTACTGGGCGCTGTGCACGTAGACCGGCGGCGGCGGCGGAGGCGGAGGGGCCGCCTGCTCGGCCATGGGCGCCACGGGAACCGCGCTTCCGGGCGCCGGTTGCAGCCCGGGCGCACTTCCGGGACGGGCTTCCTGCCGCCGCGCGGCATGACGGGAGTGGTAGTTCCCCAGGGGAGAAAGGACGCAAGCGAGCGGGCGAGGGGAGGGGAGGGGAGGGCGGAGCTGCTGCAAGAGAGGCGGGGCTCCCCCCCCCCGCTGTTTCTGGCTCAATGATAAAAGAAAGTAAAGTGAAATAATAAAATGAAATAAATACTGGAAGCGAAGCGATGTTCTCCCCGCTCTTTCTGGAGAAATAAATAAAATAAAATAAAATAAAATAAAATAAAATAAAATAAAATAAAATAAAATAAAATAAAATATAAAATATAAAATAAAAAATAAAATAAAATAAATCCTGCAAGCGAAGCGATGCTCTCCCCGCTCTTTCCGGAGACAAATAAAAGAAAATAAAAGAAAATAAATCCTGCAAGCGAAGCGATGCTCTCCCCGCTCTTTCTGGAGACATAAAATAAAATAAAATAAATCCTGCAAGCGAAGCGATGCTCTCCCTGCTCTTTCTGGAGAAATGAAATAAAATAAAATAAAATAAATCCTGCAAGCGAAGCGATGCTCTCCCCGCTCTTTCCGGAGACAAATAAAATAAAATAAAATAAAATAAATCCTGCAAGCGAAGTGATGCTCTCCCCGCTCTTTCTGGAGAAATAAAATAAAATAAAATAAAATAAATACTACAAGCGAAGCAATGCTCTTCATAGTTTTCAGTTTAGTGATAAATTGTAATTCAGCTCAATCTAGCCTAGCATCCTGTTCTTTCCGTGGTCTACCAGATGCTCGTGAGAAGCCCATAAGCATGAGTGGCCTCTCCTCTCCTGTTGTTCTTAAATCTGGGAGCTCAAGAGCTCATCCTGAGGTCAACATCCCTACAGAGAAAAATGCAGGCAGCTGCATTGTTGAGTCTATATATTGCTGCAAGCTTGGTGTGTTAGTCTAGATGCCATCCTTTCTCACCCCATACGATGGGAATTCTGCTAGGAAAAATGTATAGTAGAATCTTGGTTCTCGAACGTCTTAGTTGACGAACAAATCAGCTCCCAAACTTCGAAAACCCAGAAATAAGTGTTCTTCCAGAAGTCGAACGTCCAATGCGACTGTCAGCTATTGTTTCTGGGGCACCTGAGCCAATCGGAAGCCGCGCCTTGGTTTTTGAACATTTCAAAAGTCAAACGGACTTCCGGAACGGATTACGTTCGAGAGCCAAGGTACCACTGTGCTTCTAAAATGGTATAATCATCAACATCAGGGCTTTTTCCCCAGCCAGAACGAGCTAGAACTCTCAAGTTGGCGCCATTGCCGTTCGAAGAGAATGAGGGAGGTATTCACAATAAGTTCCAGCACCTCTTTTTCTGGAAAAATAGCACTGATTATTGTTATTTTGAACATATGTTTTGCTCCTCCCATCCAGAGGGAACAAGGTTGGGGAAAGCTGTCCAAATTCTTCCAAAATCAAGGCACGCCCCTAGCCAGGGCATGGCCTCTGTTTCAATGCCAAGTTGTGGCAAGTTCTGTGGCATTTATCTGCAATAAACAAGCCCTGGCATGAAGCCTCTGTTCCAGGAACATGGATTGAGAATCAGCACCTCACATGCACCTTGGGGATTTCCTTGTTCCTGGTCCTTTATTCCCTGTGCCCAGGTGCATAATCTGAGAACAACAGAGCAGTGCCCACAGGTGCTAAAAACTGATACCATAATTGCCTGGTCCTCCATTCTTTCCACTGTGCTGTGTGCTTCTAAAGGCTCAGTTCGGGTAAAATCAGTATACATTCCAGCTGACCTGCCCTCAAGGCCGTGTCCCAACATGACCCAGTAGATGGCTCCCGGCCAACTGTTCTATAAAGTGGCAGAGGCATAAATCAATCAAGGCCATGATTTGATTCCGAAACCACCTGTCGTATAAAAGCCATTGCAAGAAAGTGTCCTAAAAATCAATAATATTAACTTACAGAATCGCCTAAAAATCAATCATATCAACTTGCAGAATCACCAGGCAGTGGTATTAATCACAATACATTGGCAGGGTTATTGCAATCACCTGAAGTTTTATAAGGCGTCAGTTTAGTATACCTGAAGAAGTGTCTCCACCCCCATTGTTCTGCCCGGACACTGAGGTCAAGCGCCGAGGGCCTTCTGGCTGTTCCCTTGCTGCGAGAAGTGAGGCTACAGGCAACCAGGCAGAGGGCCTTCTCGGTGGTGGCGCCCACCCATCAGATGTCAAAGAGAAAAACAGCTAGCAGACTTTTAGAAGACATCTGAAGGCATGCTTCTGAAGGGAAGCTTTTAATGCCTAATAGATTATTGTATTTTAATATTTTGTTGGAAGCTGCCCAGAGTGGCTGGGGAAACCCAGCTAGATGGGCGGGGTATAAATAATAAATTATTATTATTATTATTATTATTATTATTATTATTATTAGGGTATATATTTAAAATAGATAAATAAATGAGCAAATTATATTCATTTGGATATACAGAAGACATTTAAAATAAATTTAAGGAACTGCAGAAAGAGAGGGAAGGAAGTCAAGTTTTGAAATGATAAAATGATTGTAAAATTAATGAAATGTATAAAGCCAAAAAGCATATATATATATATATATATATATATATATATATATATATGCTTTCGTAGATTTTCACGGGTACAGGAATGCAGGTTTTGGTGTCCTCGGGTGTCTTCCCGTGTAAAAGTTGGGGTGTCTAGGCGACGTTTCGACGAGGTCTCACTCGTCATCTTCAGGCTGGTGCTTTCGGCTTCTTGTTACTGGAACAGAGCAGGATCTCAGTGTTTGAGTTCCTATAAATACTGTTGAGGGGGTGTGGTGTATAGCCTCCAATGTTCTGGGCAGAGAGGAAGTTCCCAGGCTAGTGTGCCTTTTCTTCTTTTGTTCCTTAATTACTTGAGGGATATCTTGAGTGATTTCTTGAGTGATATTCTGAGTACCACTTAGGTGGGTCATTAGGTGTGGATTAGTTGCTAAAGCCTTCGTGTCTTGACCTCTTGAACTTTGTGAAGAGTTTTTCTGAGAAGATGGTTGTACTGCACTTAGTTGTGCTCTGGCTTGGCTTCGTGTATAGGGGCGAGCTGTGGTTTTGTGCCCTGTGCCAGCCAGATCTGTGTAGGGATTGCAGGGGGGTGCAGCATCCGGAGGTGCCACCATGGTTTGGCTACTGGATGGTGTCTGTAATTTATCTGTGGAGAGGGTCTGGGTTTGGGTCTGGTGTGGTTGATTGGTGATGGCGTTCTGTGTGCCTCTGGATCTGGTGTCGGTTTTTGTGGGGAGGGCTAATTTCCAGATGTCTGGCAGGCGGGACGTGTCGTCACGCTTGTTCATGTTGTGAGGGTGTTTCTCTATCTCGATGGCTTCCATGATTATTCTCTTGTGGTGATGTTCCATGTTAAAGAGCAATTTGGAATCTGCAAAATTAATTTCGTGTCCTGTTTCTTTCATGTGTTGGAAAAGAGAGGAAGTTTTTTCTTCTTTTTTGACGGCATTCTTGTGTTCTGCGATACGTGCATTTATTCGTCTGTTTGTTTGTCCAATGTACGTGGCTGGGCAGACTTTGCAGGGTATTTCATAGACCCCTTGGTTTTCTAACTGGATTTTATCTTTGGGGTTTCTGAGGATATTGGCTATTTTTTGGTTGGTGCAAAAGGCTGTTTTGATATTGTGTTTATGGAGGATTTTGCTAATTTTATCTGTAGTGCCCTTGATATAAGGAAGGAGGGCCATGCCATTGTTTTCTTCTGTGTCTTGGTTTTTGGGGGGTGTTTCTTTTTGGATTAGCTTCGTAACCCTGTTTTGCTGGTATCCATTGGCGATTAACACATTTGAGAGATTCTGTAACTCAGTTGTCAAGTGGTCTTTGTCAGCCAGGCGTTTGGTTCTGGAGATGAGAGTCTTGGCTACGGAGTTTATTTGTGCAGGGTGGTGGTGTGATTGTGCATGTAAGTAGCGGTTGGTGTGTGTTTTTTTCCGGTAGATAGTGTGTCCTAGGGAGCCATCAGGTTTTTTGTAGATTAGGACGTCAAGGAAGGGAAGTTGGTTGTTGGCTTCTATTTCCATAGTGAATTGTATTTTGGGGTGTAGGCTGTTGAGATGTGTGAGGAAGCTATTTAGTTTTTCCTTCCCGTGTGGCCAAATTACAAAGGTGTCGTCAACATATCTGAGCCAAAGTTTGGGTTTGTGTTCTGACTTGTCTAAAGCATTGGTTTCAAAGTGTTCCATGTACAGATTTGCGATGACCGGTGAGAGGGGTGATCCCATAGGTGCTCCTTCTATCTGTTTGTATCTTTGTCCATTGTGGATGAAGTACGTGTTGGTTAGGCAGTGGTTGGTCAGGTCCAGGATGTATTCGGGGGGATTGTATTTGTTTTGAATGGCTGTCAAGGCTTCATTAATGGGCACTTGTGTGAAGAGAGATACAACATCGAAGCTCACAAGTAGGTCATCGGGATGTAGGTTTTGCTTCTTTATTGTTTCTATGAACTGGAAGGAGTTTGTAACGTGTGAAGAGATGGATTCTGCATAGGGCTGAAGTTGCTTAGCGAGAAATTTAGCGAGATTTTGTAGAGGTGAGCCTATGGAGCTGACTATTGGTCTGAGTGGTGTTCCTTCTTTGTGTATCTTGGGGAGGCCGTAGAGTTTGGGGCATCTGGATGATTTTTCTCTGGGGATGATTCTTAGCTGGATTTCTTCACTGATAGGAGAGGCTTTTATTTTGGATTTGGTGGTTTTTTCCAGATAGGTGGTGGGATCTGTTTTTATAGGTTGGTAGGTAGGGTCTTGGAGTAGATTTGATAGTTTTGCTTGGTAGTCCGATGTGTTCATCACAACAGTGGCATTACCTTTGTCTGCTGGGAGAATGAATGTCTGACGGCTCTTGCTGTCAACTGGGATGTGAGTTCATTAGCAAAGAAAACGGAAAAGGCAATTCTCTGAGCATGTGTAGAATGCCCTTCCCTCTCTGGGTAACTCCAGCCAGTGGTTTTCGTTTCTTTAAATTCATATAGCGTTATTCACTGTCCCACCATCTTGTCCTCTGTCGTCCCCTTCTCCTTGTGCCCTCCATCTTTCCCAATATCTGGGTCTTTTCCAGGGAGTCTTCTCTTCTCATGAGGTGGCCAAAGTATTGGAGCCTCAGCTTCAGGATCTGTCCTTCCAGTGAGCACTCAGGGCTGATTTCCTTAAGAAGGGAGAGATTTGATCTTCTTGCAGTCCATGGGACTCTCAAGAGTCTCCTCCAGCACCATAATTCATAGAATCATAGAATCATAGAGTTGGAAGAGACCCCAAGGGCCATCGAGTCCAACCCCCTGCCAAGCAGGAAACACCATCAGAGCACTCCTGACATATGGTTGTCAAGCCTCTGCTTAAAGACCTCCAAAGAAGGAGACTCCACCACACTCCTTGGCAGCAAATTCCACTGTCTAACAGCTCTTACTGTCAGGAAGTTCTTCCTAATGTTTAGGTGGAATCTTCTTTCTTGTAGTTTGGATCCATTGCTCCGTGTCCGCTTCTCTGGAGCAGCAGAAAACAACCTTTCTCCCTCCTCTATATGACATCCTTTTATATATTTGAACATGGCTATCATATCACCCCTTAACCTCCTCTTCTCCAGGCTAAACATGCCCAGCTCCCTTAGCCGTTCCTCATAAGGCATCGTTTCCATTCAAAATCATCCATTCTCCGGCGATCAGCCTTCTTTATGGTCCAGCTCTCACTTCCATACATCACGACTGGGAAAACCATAGCTTTAACTATACGGACCTTTGTCGGCAAGGTGATGTCTCTGCTTTTTAAGATGCTGTCTAGGTTTGTCATTGCTTTTCTCCCAAGAAGCAGGCGTCTTTTAATTTCGTGGTTGCTGTCACCATCTGCAGTGATCATGGAGCCCAAGAAAGTAAAATCTCTCACTGCCTCCATTTCTTCCCCTTCTACATTTTTAAAAAAGAAATAAAGTACAGTGGTACCTCGGGTTACATACGCTTCAGGTTACAGACTCCGCTAACCCAGAAATAGTGCTTCAGGTTAAGAACTTTGCTTCAGGATGAGAACAGAAATCGCGCGCCGGCAGCAGGAGGCCCCATTAGCTAAAGTGGTGCTTCAGGTTAAGAACAGTTTCAGGTTAAGAACGGACCTCCGGAACGAATTAAGTACTTAACCCGAGGTACCACTGTACTGAGTTATTCATAAAACCAAACTAAACCAGAGCCGCTTGCAACAATTGTACATAAAACCATTCGATGGGGAAGCCTGTTTTTAAAAATTTGGAAACTCAATTGCAATCACATTGCAACAAAAGAGAAACCCCGTAAAAATGTTAAAATAAGGAACCCGAGACTTATTAGGAGCCCGCCTGACACCTCCCCTCCCCGCCCGCTCTCTTGAACCCAGGGCAGACTTTACGCGGGCAGACCAGAGGCGCTGGTTAGGGACGCAGCGGGCGCTGCGCTGGAGCCGCCCGACGGAGCCGCCCCGGGACCGGGGAAAGGAGGAGGCGCCGTTGCCGGGAAACAGCGTACACACTGCGGGCCGGAGGGACGGAGGTTGGGGCAGCTCCGGGCCGGCTCAGTCCGGCTGCCTCTCTCTCTCTCTCTCTCTCTCTCTCTCTCTCTCTCTCTCCGGGGTCCGCCTTGCGCCGAGCGGGGGTCCAGCAGCTCTCCCTGCCGTCCGCTCCCAGCCCCAGGTCGGTGCTCCGGGATCCCAGCCCCGTCTCCCGCAGGATCCATCCCTTCTCCGCCTCTTCAGTGGCTGGGGATGAGACCTTTAAGTGCTGGGGATCCCACACCCCGTCGGGGATCGCTTTTTCTGAAAGGCTCCCTTTCTCCTTCCAAGATCTCCCCACCCCACCCACGCTGGATCTCCTGGGATCTGTCCTCTGCTGGTTGGAAAGGCGGTGGGGTGCCCTCGCCCGTCGCCCGTGTCTGGCTGGGATGAGTGGCAGAATATTGAGGGAGAAACTGGGGGGTGGAATCGAGGCAGCTGTGTTGCCAGGGGTTCTTTAGCCGAGATTCCTGCTTGGCGCGTAGGGTGTGTGTGTGTGTGTGTGTGTACTAGATCAGGCATCCCCAAACTCGGCCCCTCCAGCTGTTTGGGGACTACAATTCCCATCATCCCTGACCACTGGTCCTTTTAGCTGGGGATGATGGGAGTTGTAGTCCCAAAACAGCTGGAGGGCCGAGTTTGGGGGTGCCTGGACTAGATGGTTCTTGGGTCTCTTCCAACTCCACGATTCCCTGATTCTAGCGATTCATCGGAGGTTTTTGCAGCAGAGGCTGGGGTTTTTAAGCTGTCGTTCCCGCATCTGCAAAGAGGTTGGGTTCCCTTCCGACGTTACAGTTCTACCATTCCTTGGAATGACTCTCCCTTGCAGGGACCTCCTCGCCTGGACCGTCCACGGAAGGGACTCATCCAAACCGCTAGGCGAGTCTAGCTCAGGCTGCCCCGGCGCCAACGCTTCCCTGCTTACTCCTGAAGACCTGGCCAGGTGATCCTCCAATAGCCTCAAGAGATCAGGTGAGGGGTCTTTCCGAAACACCGCCTTAGAACTAAATTGCAATAAGATCTATCTGCACTACATAGGGGTCTATCATGTTCCCTGCCTCTCTCTCTAGCCGTGATTCCTGCATTACAGGGTGGGAGGTGTGTGTGTGTGTGTGTGGACACTTTGGGTTCCTTATAACCAGTGCTTTTTTCCTGGGGGTACGCATACCCCTAAATAACTTGCAAATCTAAGTTTGGCCTCATTGAGGGGCAGCGTTTCAATAGGAGTAGGAAAATGAGAGCAACCCTAAACATTTGTTTAGAGAGAGAAAAAGCACTGCATATAACTACTATGCTCTCCCTCTCATTGAAACACTTCCCTCACTCTCTCACATGCATGAAGAAGATTAGGCGTTTCTCATGGCCTCAGGCAACTGCACCATCTCAAACAGGAACCTGGTGCCCTCCACTTTTAAATTTATTTCCTACAGCTCTTTTTTTTTGTATTCCAGCTCCAAGAGCTAGGCTGGCTGGGTCTCTCTCTCTCTCTGTTTGATGAATTAAAATAAGATAGCACAAAATACTTTGAAGCAACAGAAAATCCAAGGACTTAAAAATGTGAAATAATTATTTTAATAATCACACTTGTCATTATTATTATTATTACTATTATTACCAGATAGGATCCTGGGGATTCCTCATTGCCTGGTATCCAAACAGCTCACTTGTCCAGGACAGATCTGACTTTGGCTAAAAAACACACCTAATTTAGAGGCAGGAGAAGCCAAGTTGGGTCACGTCTTGCTTACTACACATTTTGCGTAGTAATTCTCCTTCCAGGAGGGCTAGAGACTGCCTTTTTATTATTATTTTAAAAATAATAGATTCCTGCATTTCTGGATGGGTTAGACTGGATGGCCTTCGTGGCCCCTTCCAACTCTACAGTCCTGCGATTCCAGGAAGTTTTAAAGGGCAGGGCTTGGGTGGTCATCTGCCAGGCATTCTTTAGCTGTGTATGTGGGTGCTTTTGTGCAAAGAAGGACACTGCCCCCGCCTGCCACCAGCGCATGGTCAATCTCTGTTTTGCTGTCCCCGCTGGCATGGCAACTGGGCTAGAGAGAGGAGGGAGAGAGAGAGACCCAGACAATGGCATGTGTTTGCTGGTTTTGTTTGGAAACGATGTGGGAGACTAACCCGGCAGACACAGAGAAAGAAGCAAATACAAAAGTGCATTAAGGAACATCACACCGATTATGGCACAGGCTTCTGTCCACTTCATCAGATGCCTGGAATTATCTTAGGGTTCCGGGCCCTAAGGAAGTCAGGCTATCCTCCACCAGGGCCAGGGCCTTCTCAGTGATGGCTCCGACCTGGTGGAATGCTCTGTCCCAGGAGACCAGGGTCCTGCAGGATTTAACCTCCTTCCGCAGGGCCTGTAAGACAGAGCTATTCTGCCTGGCTTTCCATTTGAACTTAGCCTGATCTTTTATTCCCCTTCCTTCCCTCCCCCTCCCCTTTTTATGAAGATTCCCTGCTCTGGGATCCCACAGCTAATTCTCCCCTGGTCTCCTCGCTGGCCCAAAGAGGACTAATTTAGCCAGCTAGCCCTGGTGATCATCTAATGTTTATTGGATGGATTTCCCCCCTAAATTGATTTTGAATTTATTGTTATTCATGTTCTATACTGTATTATATGATGCTTTTTCTTGCATCAATTAGTTTTTAAATTTGTTGTTAGCTGCACTGAGCCCAGTTTTCTGAACCGGGAAGGGCGGGGTATAAATAAAAAAATATTAAATTATTATTATCATTATGCATGCATAGAATCGTAGAGTTGGAAGGGACCCCATGGGGTCATCTAGTCCAGCCCCCTGCAATGCAGGAATCTCAACTAAAGCATCCAGGACAGATGGCATTTGTGTGTGTGTGTTACTATCTGTAGTGGGAAATTGTCGCCTGCTCTGGGACTGCTTCTGGGTCACGGCCTGATCTGACCCCACAACTAAGAGGCGAGGGAGCTGGGAGTGTCAATGAACAGCTGGAGCCCATTCATCAGATTTGTTGCATTAATTGAAATAAATAGTTGGATTTTGCAGCGTTGTTTGTTGGCAGCCATATTTCTCGGGAGGCAACAGAAGAGTGCGCCTTTGGGGGGGGGGTGAAGTCAAACTGAATGTAGTTTGTAGAGACCAATGCGGGAGAGACATGTTTTGTTGCAGCTAGGGCAGAGGAAGGCGTCTGATGTACAGCTGTGGATGCACCATGACATTTCTTATCTTTGCGCTCCTCCCAGCAGTCGTTCCTCCCCTGGTCACTGCTGTGGATGCATGACTTTGTGGGAATGTTGTGAGTAACAGGAGAGGCTATATTGATTAGTATTATCCTTCCTAACTCACGCTAGCAAGTTTCTTCACTTAGCAGAGTGCATTCCCCTATTATACAACAGGAAGAAGAAGAAGAAGAAGAAGAAGAAGAGGAGAGGAGAGGAGGAGGAGGAGGAGGAGGAGGAGTTTGGATTTGATATCTCGCTTTATCACTACCCAAAGGAGTCTCAAAGCAGCTCACAATCTCCTTTCCCTTCCTCTCCCAAGACCGGAACATGTCGACAGATGTTTGGGTGGGGTCCTGGCGCCCCCACCGGCCCAGAGGGCCAATCGCTGCCCTCTACAGCAGTCCCGGGCCCAAATATGCTCTCCCATCAAATGTAGGTGAGTGAATTTGGGGTGGGGACAAAGTCCAGCTTTCGAACCCTAGAATGGGCTAAACAGGAGCAGCCCACCCAGCACAGAAATGACTTGTGGAACTCCTTGCCACTGGATGTTGCGGTGGGCATGGGAATAAAAGGTTGAAAAAGGACAGGAGGTGTCAGCTCAGGAAGGAAATGTCAACCACTTGCAGAAAACAAAAATCAGTTCTCCAAGACAGCGTCGCTCTTGGGACAAGCAAGAGGGGGCGGCCAGTTGTCATTTCTCTCCCTGCTTTTGAGCTTTGCTGTGATTGCTCACAGGATTTTAAAAACTGGTTCTTGAAAAGGGGTAGTTGGGAAGAAACTGTACCAAAACCATATTTTATGCTGAAAATTCCCTTCCCCCATATATTTTCATTAGGGAGAATGCGTAAAAATATTTCTCATGCAATATCTCATATCAAACTTAATTTTTTTTGAATTGACTAAACGCTTTCAATTCGATTTTGAGCAAATGTGCAATTAATTGTTACTGTTTTGAATTCTGTTGGGTTATTTATTATTTATAAATTATTATTTGTACCCTGCCCATCTGGCTGGGCTTCCCCAGCCACTCTGGGCAGCTTCCAACAAAACATTAAAATACAGTAATGTATTAAACATTAAACGTTTCCCTAAACAGGGCTGCCTTCAGATGTCTTCTAAAAGTCTGGTAGTTGTTGTTCTCTTTGACATCTGGTGGGAGGGCGTTCCACAGGGAGGGCGCCACCACCGAGAAGGCCCTCTGCCTGGTTCCCTGTAGCTTTGCTTCTCTCAGCGAGGGAACCACCAGAAGGCCCTTGGAGCTGGACCTCAATGTCTGGGCTGAATGATGGAGGTGGAGATGCTCCTTCAGGTATACAGGACCGAGGCCGTTAAGGGCTTTAAAGGTCAGCACCAACACTTTGAATTGTGCTCGGAAACATAATGGGAGCCAATGTAGGTCTTTCAAGACCGGTGTTATGTGGTCTTGGCAGCCACTCCCAGTTACCAGTCTAGCTGCCGCATTCTGGATTAGTTGCAGTTTCTGGGTCACCTTCATAGGGTTTGGGAGGGGGCCCTGGGGTGTGTTTATGGAACCTAGCAGGCAGGGGCCCCAAAATGTTTGGAAACCAATGGGGTAGAGCATCACCCGCCCACCCCCGCCATGTCTCTCTGGCCCAACGTCTAACCTTCCTTCCCTGCTGCTGTTTCTCCTTGCAGGCTACCAACTGCATGACCCTTCTCGCACCCGGGCCCCGGCCTACAGCTTTGGCACTCGCCACTCCCAGGACCAAGAGAACTGCTCCCCCGGCCCGGGCTACCTCATCCCAACCAACATGACCATGAGGGGCAGGGCTGGGATTCCTGCTTATTCCATCTATGGACGCCCCAAGGACGTGCCGCCTTTTAGGACCCCGGGGCCAGGTCTGTCTTGAAATCTGGGCCCGAGGCACCCCATTTGTGCTGGTCCCGGGGGGGGGTTACGGTGCGGCGTGGTCTAAGTCTGGTCCTAGGTCAAGGGTATGGAGGCTGTCTGTCGGGGCGAAGGGAGGTCCAAAGGGAGGAGTCGGGCGTGGTCAGGAACTCTGGCAGGAGAGCAGGTCAGGATACCGGCAGGAACAGGTTACCAACGATGTTGCTCCCGCAACCTGGGAATGGGCTGGCCGTTATCTCCTTTGAGGCATAGGGCGGCCCCGGTCCACAGGTGACTCGCCTCTCCTGGCCTGAAGGCGAGCACTCCTCCTGCGAGAACTTAGTTCCCTCCGCCTCTCTGCCCTGAGCCTCTGCAGCTCAGGAGAGGCTGGAGGGTTACTGAACCCAGAGACAACCTCAGCTTCCTCTGATGGGGCTGAGAGAGGCACACCTGCAGGCAATGGGTCCTCCATCACCTCCGGAGACAGAGCGGATTCAGCTGGTGCCTGCTCTTGAGGATCCGGCACAGGTGAGGGCGTTTCAGGTTCAAGCCCCAGCCCAAGCTCAGCCGGCCCTGGAGGCGGGGACTCTTGTGCAGGCTGGGATTCCTCAGGTTCAGCCTCTGAATCCGATTCCCAGGGCATCATACCACTGTAGGAATGACTAGGACGACGGGAGTTTGAATGCAAGTGAGCTGTGCAGAAGTGAAGGAATGGGTTTCCCAAAACCCAAAACTGACTGTGCAAGCAGTTTTAAACTGCACCAAAATCCCTATTTTCCCCTAGCTAAAATGCATAAACTTGAGCCGTTGAGCAAATGCTTAACAAGAACACAGCTCTCTCCTTTATCAGTTTGTGACGTCAAGGATGACCCTGACTGCACCAGTAGAACCGAGAAAACACGTTTGTGCCTTATCTTATGTTTTGACCACAAAGACGAACAGACCCAAGTCTGGGAAAAACGCCAGAAGCGTGTTCCCGGAGATGACGGGGTCTTCCTCCAAGATAAGAGTAGGAAGAGGAATATCCTTTTATGGTCAGGAGTGCAGGAAGGAAATCCCTTTTATGGTTAAGAGTGCCGGAACAGGAACATCTGTGATGTCAACCTGCGTATACAAGCTGACGTGGCTGGATTCCTGGGGAAGGGGGTGAGGGTGCCTGGAGGATATATATACTGCATGAAACTTCTCATTTCTTTGGACTTGCTGTGGACTTGATCACACAAGTGCCTTCTGCTTTCCGGAGGGCAGAATAAACTCTTTCTTTGAACCAACCTCGGTGTCATTTGACTTCCTTCTTCCTGTCCCGGGGCAATGCAGACCCAATCGGTGAACTCCAATAAGGCTACAGAAGCACTCCAGCAAGCATGCTCCAAGCAAGCTGCCGACTAGCTCTGCAGAGGCTCCTTTTATTAGCAGAAGTCAACAATTGGAATTAGCAGTGAGACAGGGGGTTAGAGTTAGTGAAGAGGCACTTCCCATTTTTCTTTTGGGAAGAAAGGGAGCAGCCGCAAGACCAAAACTCCCCTTTCTAACTCAGCCGTATTCCAATGTTATTCCATTGGGGAAGATGGAGCAAACTTGCTTTTCTGCGGCTCCATAGGAGATGCATTCAAGTTACAAGAAGGGAGATTGTGACTGAAGCTTAGGAATAACTTCCTGGTGGTAAAGAACTGTTCATCAGTGGAACAGATTCCTTCAGAAGGTGGTGGACTCTCCATCGGAGGTTTTTCAACAGGGGGTTCATACAGAGAATCATAGAGTTAAAGAGCTGGAAGGGACTGCTGAATGTCAACCATCCTCTGTGCCCTTCTGCATCCTGATCAGATTGTGGCTCTCTGCTTCCAACAGGCTGCTATTCCCCGGAGAAAGCAGGGAGATGGGCTTACCGCTCTGCCCCCATGTATTCCCTTGCCTACCGGACGAAGGAATTCCAGAACGACCAGACACCAGGTGAGAGAGAGGACGCCAGGTGGGAAGGGTGTTTGCAGACAAAGGTAAAAATGACATTTATTGGTTATAAGAAAAAAATTGCTCCTTTTCCCTTATGGGGTATCCAAGAGCCCGTACAGAGTCCTTAAGCAGGCTCCCTATTGGTAAGAGAAAATAACAGAGGCCAACCAAAGTATATTGAGAAGCAAAGTGGCTGTTGTTGTTGTTGTCTAGTCATTCAGTCGTGTCCGATTCTTGGGCCCTGGGCCAGAGCACGCCAGGCACTCCTGTCTTCCACTGCCTCCCGCAGTTTGGTCAAACTCATACTGGTCTCTTCGAGAACACTGTCCAACCATCTCATCCTCTGTCGTCCCCTTCTCCTTGTGCCCTCAATCTTTCCCAGCATCAGGGTCTTTTCCAGGGAGTCTTCTCTTCTCATGAGGTGGCCAAAGTACTGGAGCCTCAGCTTCAGGATCTGTCCTTCCAGTGAGCACTCAGGGCTGATTTCCTTCAGAATGGAGAGGTTTGATCTTCTTGCAGTCCAGGGGACTCTCAAGAGTCTCCTCCAGCACCAGAATTCAAAAGCATCAATACTTTGGCGATCAGCCTTCTTTATGGTCCAGCTCTCACTTCCATACATCACTACTGGGAAAACCATAGCTAGTAAGCCTGATTTTATTCAAGAAACTGTTGTAACAGGGTCCCCACTCACCACACGCAGAAGGGAGGAGAACCCTGAACAATGGTGTGCAAGCCCCTATATAGACTTTTGAAACTGCCCACCCTGTAGCCCAAGACCACCCCCAGAAACATCATATATGCATCACAGAAGGATGCAGTCTACAGCGGAAATCCTGTTTGCCAGGATACCTGATAATGGTCACCGATTGCATTACCTGGGCAGCCTGGCCATTCTTTTGTGATGGTAAATACTTTAGTTCCGGAAACCAGGTCACAGGCTCACCTTATTCATACACAAATACACCCTTGAGACAGGTAAGCAAAAGACTTCCCCCATTTCCTACCTCCTTGCAGAGAAATATTTGAGGTCAATTTGGGGGAGTCCAAATGGCTTCAGGATTGCTCTCCTGTACTATTTCAAACACATGGTTTATATACAGTGGTACCTTGGTTTACGAACTTCATCCATTCTGGAAGTCCATTCTTAAACCAAAGCGTTCTTAAACCAAGGTGTGCTTTCCCATAGCAGCGGGGGACTCAATTTACAAATGGAACACACTCAACATGTTCTGCTTCCAAGGCAAAGTTCACAAACCAAAACACCTACTTCCGGGTTTGCAGCGTTCTTAATCCAAGTTGTTCATAAACTAAGCTGCTCTTAAACCAAGGCACCAGTGTACATACATCTGTGTTTGCCTTGTACATTTATGAACATTTAATTTATATTTGAGACCTTAGAATTCTTATAACATCGCTTTGGCCTGAGTGACATGGACCCAGTGGAGGACTATGGGCTCTCAAATTTCAGTGGTGCCCTGTGCAATGTGATAATTCAGTGCCCCCCCCCGCTTTCGCTCTCCGTTCTATAGCATTATGGTGGCGCCCCCAGCAGCACGGCGCCCAGTGCTGTTAAACTGGCCGCACTACCCTTAAAATACCTCTGTTGGACTTGGACCGGTGGTTTGGCTCAGTATGGGGTAGTTTCATACGTCTCTATTTTGGAAAGGCCATTGCAGCTTAGCAATAGAAGGTTTGCTTTGAGTGCAGAAGGTTCCAGGTTCTCACATGCTTCTATACATTCCCATATGCCCCACTGAATCTCTTCTCTCCACTTCCCGCCCCCCACCTCTAGGGCCTGCAGCCTACTGGCTCCCCCCCATGATGGGGCCCAATGTGGTTGGCAAGACCTCAGCCCCCAATTTCTCCATTTATGGGCGCAAGTCAATTGGCAGCTTCTATGAGGACCTCAGCAAGGTGAGTAGCCGAACGGACAGGTTTTGAAGACCGTGGAGTGAGAGATTTAGGAAATCCTCTTCCCCCTTGCAGGTGACCTTGACATTGTCTGATGAACGCACAACCAAGAAATCCAGGGTAGTTATTTTACTACCTGCATCGATCTGGTTCTTAAACAAAAGAGTAACAATATTTTCAAATAGGAGATTATTTTCAAACACTTAAGTCAGAGGTCGGCAACCTAAGGCCCATGGGCCAGAAGTGGTCCATGGGGTCACTTAACCAGCCCATGAGTCGCCCCCGAACCATGCCCATCGTGGGGATTCGAACCGCCAACCTTCTGATCGGCAAGTCCTAGGCTCTGTGGTTTAACCCACAGCACCACCCGCGTCCCTTATGCTGTACATTAAAGCTTCTTTAGATTAGGAAGAAGCCGTGCACGGACTGTTATTTTTGCACCCACATAAGGCACACACTGAGGGACGCGGGTGGTGCTGTGGGTAAAACCTCAGTGCCTAGGACTTGCTGATCGTAAGGTCAGCGGTTCGAATCCCCGTGGCGGGGTGAGCTCCTGTCGTTTGGTCCCAGCTCCTGCCCACCTAGCAGTTCGAAAGCACCCCTAAGTGCAAGTAGATAAATAGGTACCGCTTTATAGCGGGAAGGTAAACAGCGTTTCCGTGTGCTGTGCTGGTGCTGGTTCGCCAGTTGCAGCTTTGTCACGCTGGCCACGTGACCCGGAAGTGTCTCCGGACAGCGCTGGCTCCCGGCCTCTTGAGCGAGATGAGCGCGCAACCCTAGAGTCGGTCACGACTGGCCCGTACGGGCAGGGGTACCTTTACCTTTAAGGCACACACCGTTGCTGTGATGCTCTGCTCGCAGCTGGGAGAAGCACAAAGGCACAGAGGAAGTGTGCCGGATGCCAGAAAACTTCATAGGTCATGACAGTTGCCTGCGTGACCCAACAGAGTCTTCCCATCCCTTTGGTAACTTCACAGATAAGAATTAACAAGCAGCTGATAGATTTATAGTCCTTTTATTACAGCAACCATGCTGCAAGCACAAATGCGCAGCTCTCTGCAAGAAGGGCAGTTGGCTAGTCTAATCCTCCTTCTGGCTTCCACAGCATTTGGAGCACCAATGAGAATTTCCTCCCTCCCTCTGACTCCTTTGCTCTCTGATACGTTTGGACCTCCGTGTCCTTGATAAGGGAGTGTTCCCCACGCTCTCAAGTGATGTCCTAGCTAGCTGCTCCCTCCCTTCTGGTTCTGTCTTCATTATCTCGTAACTGGGCAACTCCCCTATAAGCTGTTCAGCTTCTGCCTCTCTCTCTGTTTCTCAACACGCTGTGGACAAGGGGTGGGAGGGACTCTTCCCCCTCCAGCTCTCCATCGGAGAGAAGCTGGTCTGCTGTAATAAACGAAAATCTGCCCGTATTCCCTTATGGGGAACACAAGAGCCCTTATAGAGTCCTTTGTAGGTTCTCCATCGGTCGGAGAAAAGAACAGAGGCCAACCAGAGAATATTGAGAAGCAAAGCAGCTCGTAAGCCTGATCTTTATTGAACTGTTGCAACAGGGTGCTCCCCTCACATGCTGGAAAGGAGGAGGACCCCAGAACAAAGGTGTGCCTGCCCTTGGAGTCCAAGACCACCCCCAGAAACACCATACATACATCACAGAAGGGGTGTAGCTCAAGACCACCCCCCAGACACATCATACCTACATCACAGAAAGGCAGTCTACAACAGAAATCTGAGTGCGTTGTTTACCGCCTGTCTGGCAGACCTGCTAATGGTCACTTGATTGGATACCCTGGGGAGCCTAGCCAGTATTTTGTAATGATAAATACTTAGTTCTTGAGCCACAGGCTCACCCTATTCATACACAGACATACCCTAAAGACAGGACTTGTGAAGGAAAAGACATTGGGGAGGCTTTTCCATTTTCCCTCGACCTTGCAGAGAAAACATTTGGTCAGTTTGGGAGTCAAAATGGTTTCAGGGTTGTTTTCCTGTGCTGCTTCAGACATGTGGTTTGTATATTTATGTACGTATTTCCTTGGTACATTTATGAACATTTATTCTATATATAAAACCTTAATTTTTTTATTTCACTGCCATAGAAGGCATTCCCCAGTCCTTGTCTCCCGACCATTCCCTGACACCTAGTGACCCTTCCCCCCCCTCCTTGAACGACAGACGCCAGGGCCCTGCAACTACCGCCTGGTGGATCCCAGCGTCTACAAGAAACGGCCACCACAGTTCAGCATGCTGGCCCGCAACATGCCCCCAGGAGACAACACTTTGAAGCCGGGTCCAGGAGCCTACAGCCCCGAGAAGGTGAGGGCAGGTGGCAGCAGAAGGCATTATGCGGGGGGGGGGGCTTTTTGGGGGATGCAGCTGTCCTGCAGCAAAGATGTGGGTCTTATGGGTAGTGGGAGAGGGGGCTACCACAGCAGGAGAACTGGAGTCGTCAAGGTGAGCTTCATCAGCCTCTCCCTCCTCTGAGGAACCAACCTCTGCAAGCAGGAGCAGGTCCGCAGATGACCTGGCCAGGAACATGACACTTCATGTATTTATTAAATTTATATCCTGTATGGTAGGGGGTTGGACTAGATGACCCATGGGGGTGTTGTAAACAAAAGGGGTACCTTCCAACTCTACAATTCCATGATTCTATGATATCCCACATTCCCTTCAACAAGCTTAAAACAGATCTGTGGATTGTTGTATGTCACATGCCTGTTTACACTCCAGCACAGCTTGCTGGGAACTTCTATTTGTGTGTATAGCTTTTGCTGCTTGCTCTTGGACACGAAAGGGGGAAGACATGTTTTTCCTTTGTCCTGATATACGCGGAACAAACTGCCTGTAAATATGGTCTCACAGCCATCTCCTGCTTGTGCAGTGTTATTTACTCTGCTGATTAGAGCGTGCTCCAGCTTCTGAAGCTGTGGGTCACTGTTTCATGCTGAGCCAATGACTGGAGATCACCCAGCTACCCTCATCTCCACCAAGCTAAGCAGTTGGCTCCTTACCTCTCTCGCCCTGACCTTGCCGCTGTGATCCACACGACGGTCACCACCAGACTGGATTATTGTAACTCACTCTACGTGGGGCTGCCCTTGAGACTGACCCAGAAACTCCAGTGGGTGCAGAATGCCGCGGCGAGGCTCCTTACAGGGTCCTCGCCGCAAGATCACATTCACCCAGTGCTATACCAGCTGCACTGGCTCCTGGTGGAGTACAGGATCAGGTTTAAGGTGCTGGTTTTAACCTTTAAAGCCCAATACGGTTAGGCTGGCCTCAACCAGAGCCAGGGCTTTTTCGGCTGTGGCTCCAATCTGGTGGAACGCTGTGTCACAAGAGACTAGGGCCCTGTGGGACTTGACATCTTTCCGCAGGGCCTGCAAGACAGAGCTGTTCCGCCAGGCCTTTGACCAGGGCACAGTCCTGACCCCCTCCTTTGGCAATCCTCACAGAACTCTAGCCCAATGGTTGCCATTAATCTGACTTGAACTGATTTTATAATGAAATGATTTTAGAATGTTGTATCATTTTACTGTTGTTAGCCGCTCTGAGCCCGGCTTCGGCTGGGGAGGGCGGGATATAAATAATTTTTAAAATTATTATTATTATTATTATTATTATTATTATTATTATTATTATTACTGCCCGGTGGGCTGGAGCCAGCTGGGCGCTTGCAAATTGCCCCTGTTCCCTTGGAAGCATCCCAACACTAACCACTGCACCAGCTTTCCAGCTACTCTCCATTGTTCGGTGCCCCCACCCCTTCCTTTCCGCTGGCGGTGCCTAACCCTGCCCCTCCATCTCTCCTTCCTCCTGCAGCACACCCCGCAACGTGGCTTGAGCTTCGGGATCCGCCACTCGGACTACGTGGCTCCTCTCATTGTGGAGGTGGCAGATTAAGCAGGCTCCATCGGCGAAGACGGTCTGGACAAGAAAGATTCCTTTGGAAACATATGGATCTCTCGGTGCTTTGTGTTGCTGCTGGGGATTGGGGCCTGGGGAGGGAAGTGGGGTGGGCAGCATCGAAGGCCTGTGGGGGGGGGGTTCCTCAGAGCTGGGGGGCCTGGGTTCAGCGAGGCTCATAGCCTACCCTCTCAGTTCCTTTGGGAAACTGTTGCAGCTTTGATTCTCCCTGTTCCCAGATCCTTTGACTGCATTGCTCTGATCCATTCACCCCTTAGTCACCCCAGTTTTCTCTAAGGATGTGTGAGCTGAGGAAGGTCCAGGAAGGCTGTGCAGTGAGACGGGGGCAGGAGGGAAATATCTTCCTATTTGTACCTCACAGCTATTACAGCAGAACCTCGGTTTTCAAATGTAATCCATTCCAGAAGACCATTCGACTTGCGAAATGTTCGAAAACCAAGGATCAATGGGTGGTTCCATTGAAAAAATGGAAAAACACACACCGGAAGCCATTTGACTTCCGAGGCGTGTTCAAAAACGGAAGCAATCACTTATGGGTTTTTGGTGTTCGGCTTCTGAGACGCTCGAAAACCAAGGTTCCACTGTACAGTCATACCTCATTTTACGTTTGCTTCATGTTACGTCTTTTCAGGTTGTGTCCTGTGGCGACCCAGAAGTACCGGAAAGGGTTACTTCCGGGTTTGGCTGCTCGCGCATGCGCACAAGCACCAAATCATGCCACGCACCTGCGCAGATATGGCGCTTCAGGTTGCGGGCTTTTCATGTTGCGAATGCGAAGGGGCCTCTGGAACAGATCCCGTTCGCAACCAGAGGTACCACTGCATCTCGGTTTTGTGTGCTTGAATCCAAATTCTGTGCCCAGAAAGGCTGAATTCTGCAATCTGTATGAATTACATAGTTAGAAAACATTACGGATCTTCCCCAGTTTGCATCCTCTGCTTTCCTTCTGCCAGTCAAGGGATCCCACCTCAGTTTTGTGCCAAACTGGCCTCTCCAGACTCCATGCCTCCGAGGTAGACTCACATCCCAGAAGTGAAATGACCTTTCCTTGGCTCTGACTCCCTGCATTCATCACCTCTAAGCCCAGTTGCCGGGTGCCAGACCAGAGTCTTCCTCCTGAGACTCTGCTAAGTTTGCTGCTTGTACAGTCCTCAGTTCATCGATTAAAAAGAAACAGTGCCAACAAAATTCTTTGCAAGACGATTGCGATGATACACATGGTGTGTGACTCTTTCTTGTCTTGGGCTTGTTGTATGAAAATCCTTGGGCTCACTTGGATTTGCCAAACAAAGACACCAGCTGAGTCGAGAGTGGATTTCACGTTCTTTATTCAGCTCATAGTGGTGAGGAGGAATGGAAGTTCCCCTGAAATGTCTGCTTTATATACAACACCCCCCAAGCTTTATAAAAATTCCAATAACAGTCATCACTCACTTGTTTGTTTCACAGATAACGATTTCTCTTCAACATGTTGATCCTAGCTCTCAACACCTAAAAGTGCCACAGCCACAGGGTTGCCCAGGGCCCATTGCGAAGGATGGGGCTGCCGAGGCTATGTGGGGAAAGTCCTTTTCCATGGGGGGAAATGGTGTCCATCCTGCCTCAATTTTTTTCCTACAACATAGCAGACAAACCCAACAGTGGAGCAAGCCGATTGGGCACCTAGGGCGGCATGTGTGCCTTGCATGTTTTGCATCTCAAGATCTGATGAAATGTAATTTATGGATCTGAAGTGAGGTTTTCCTTCACTAGGCCTTGGGCAACCAGCTCAGTTTATCAGTTTATCTTTCTTCTCAGATTCAGATGAGGCTGAGGAAGCTCAGGACCATTGCCCGGAACCACTAGGGGGCTGGATGAAGGCCACTGAAACTCAATCCTGGAAAGGTTCTGTGGGATAGTGATTGGATAGATACGCTGTTCATAGGCTGGAAGTAGGCAGGCCTTCTTTAAGATGGCTTGAGATGGTGGGCTCATCATCCCAGAAAAGACCCGTTGGCCCCAAAGGTTGGAGTACTTACTCAGGTTTGATGAAGGCTCCAACATGTTCTGCTTTCAAGTGAGCCCCCAGGGACAGGTAGGTTCATAAGCAACATCATTTTATCAGGAACAACTTGGAGTACCCACCATACCTTAGAGACGAAGTGAGCAAGATCCACAACACCCACTGAACACACATTTGAAGAACACGAACTTCCCCTAAGAATCCTGGGAACTGTAGGTTGCTGTCTGCAGGGCTACAGTCCCCACGGTTCTTGGGTATAACCTACAAGCTCTGAATGTTTACTAAACGTGCTTGAAATGTATGTTGTGTGGGTCACTGAAGCCCACCAGGAAAATAACAGCCGTGTCAGCACCCTAAGGGATGCTATCTGATGCACACAGCTAGTCTGCTTGCACTCCTCTGAACTCGAGCCTGTCCTGTCGCGACATAATTTTATCAGGGGCCAGCTGCCCACGGGGCAGGGCCAGCTGGGGCAGGATGCTCCGCGGGGCCTCCGAGGAGTCTGCCTATCTCCTCCCACTCAGCTGCCCTACAGCTGGGGGGAGGCAGGGGGCAGACCATTTGAGGCAGCGCAGAGCCTGTGGACACCCAAGCCACTGCATCACTCCCAGGAGAGACATGTGGCTGGGGCACGCTGCAGGGTCCTCAGTGATTGCCACCTGGCATTTTGTCACTCCCCTCAGTGGTGAAACCCAGGGCGGCCCGCCCCCACCGCCCCCCTTCCTTTGCCCGTGGACAAACCACCCCAGCCCTTTCCCTGCAAACTAACATTGCCAGTTTGGGAGGGCCGGCACGTGTGTTGAGCAGCTGTTTCTCTATCTTAAAGGTAAAGGGACCCCTGACCATTAGGTCCAGTCGTGGCCGACTCTGGGGTTGCGGTGCTCATCTTGCTTTACTGGCCAAGGGAGCCGGTGTACTGCTTCCAGGTCATGTGGCCAGCAGAACTAAGCTGCTTCTGGTGAACCAGAGCAGTGCACGGAAACGCCGTTTACCTTCCCGTTGGAGCGGTACCTATTTATCTACTTGCATTTTGATGTGCTTTTGAACTGCTAGGTTGGCAGGAGCAGGGCCCGCCAACGGGAGCTCACTCTGTCATGGGGATTCGAACCGCTGACCTTCTGATCGGCAAGTTCTAGGCTCTGTGGTTTAACCCACAGTGCCACCCGCGTCCCTGCTCTATCTTAGAATCAGAGAATTGCAGAGTTGTCCACAAGGCTCCCCAGACATTCATTTTCTCCTTTCATGAAATGCTTGAGCAACGATAGCCAAGACCAGTGCAATGATTGATTGCGGCTGGTTAATCGACAGCCCAACCTCCTGGGAGCCAAGGAGAAAAGGAGAAAGCAAGAGGTGGACTCCTGGCCACAGATGACCTTTGCTTTGTAAGTGACAGGACCGAACGAAGGCACTCTCGGGGGGTCGGTGCTGCAAGAGAAACTGTTGCCTTTTGCACTTTGCAACAGTGGCGTAGCTTGGGGGGGCAGGGGGGCCCGGCCGCACCGGGCGCAACATCTGGGGGTTAGGGGGCGCAAATCCATGGGTTAGGGGGCGCAAATCCACGGGTTAGGGGGCACAAATTACTTGCCTTGCCCCGGGTGCTGACAACCCACGCTACGCCACTGCTTTGCAAGCAGACCAACTTGCAACCTTCTTTCCGGGTTGATGACCAGCTTGTGGGAGAGGGAATCTGGGGCTCAGAGAGGCTGAGAGAGCTGCAATGGGCCCCGGAAGGTCCTGGTGGGCAGTGCACTTAGGGCTGCTGCAGACTTAAAGCAACACCCTCTCCTTCCGTTGAACTTTGTGACCTCCCCAAATGAGCTGTTATCTCAGAGGGCTTGCAATGGCTGGGATTGTCATTGTTTAGTTGTTTAGTCGTGTCCGCCTCTTCGTGACCCCCTGGACCAGAGCACGCCAGGCACTCCTGTCTTCCACTGCCTCCCGCAGTTGGGTCAAACTCATGCTGGTAGTTTCGAGAACACTGTCCCACCATCTCGTCCTCTGTCGTCCCCTTCTCCTTGTGCCCTCCATCTGTTTTCTTCTCTTCTCATGAGGTGGCCAAAGTCTTGGAGCCTCAGCTTCAGGATCTGTCCTTCCAGTGAGCGCTCAGCACTCAGAGGCTGGGATTAGCCTCTGGGAGAATTTGCCCTCATCAGAACATAAGAAGAGCTTGCTGGATCAGGGCAATAGACCATCATCTAGTTCAGCATCCTGTGTTCACAGTGGTAACCCAGACGTCTGGGGTAAATCCACAAGCAGGGTCCAAGCACAAGAGTAACATTCAGAGTGCTGGTGCTGTCCTTCAAAGCCCTAAATGGCCTCAGCCCAGTAGACCCGAAGGAGCGTCTCTACCCCCATCGTTCAGCCCAGACACCGAGATCCAGCTCCGTGGGCCTTCTGGCGGTTTCCTCCCTGCGAGAAGTGAGGTTGCAGGGAACCAGGCAGAGGGCCTTCTCGGTGGTGGCGCCCGCCCTGTGGAACGCCCTCCCATCAGATGTCAAGGAAATAAACAACTACCTGACTTTTAGAATACAATCCTGGCAGCCGTTATTGCATGTGGAAAGACTCTTTTATTATCCTTTGGGATGTCTGTTGTGAATATACCTAACAAGAAAAACTCTTAAGACACACCTTTCTACTCCCATTTCTGGTCCCAAATCTTGTTTGGGCCTCGAATCTCATTCTGTTCGGACTCTAGCATTTTGTGGCACAAGGGGAGAACCTGCTGCTGAGTGGACAAGCTTGGCGCAGAGCCAGCCACAAGTCACTGACCTGCCTTGGCTGCGTGTGGAACGAGCAGCTTGTTGCTTGAACAAGTAGGTGGGATCAAGTGCAAAGAGCAATCTGTTCAAGAGCCGCCATCTCCATGTCCTGGCAGGGGAACGGACTCTTTCAGAAGGTGATGGACTTGCCTTCATTGGGGCTGTTCTAAACAGAGGTCAAATGGCCCGCCACTGAGGATGCTTCAGCTGTGATTCCTGCATTGCTAGATGGTCCTTG